GATCAACTGAATGTACTGCGAGAGATACAGCGTAGTGCTATGGCTGGTGAACAATGTTCTACCAGTAGACCAGCCAGTATGGTGTCTGTCGCTTCCTCTGTGTCAGAACATGGGGAGACAACTGAGGGTGAAACTGATGACGGTAAGTCACATGGGTCTTATTGGTATAAATGAATGCTCTCTGTAGAAAATCAGAAAATCTTTCACAGTAAAGTAAAAGTGAAAAAGGTATTCCTCCAGGGTTTAAAGCCATTTTAGTTGTTTGACTCTTCCAACAGAAACTGCTCTGGTCTCTTGCACAATAGTTGCTTTCTTGAATATAAGCACTCCATGCTTTGTGAGCGACAACTGCTTCTAGTGGAATTCTAAAAGATTTTGTAACTTCGATTTTTTAATTTGCAATTGTGTATTTTATATGTTGGTATTTCTTTGCTTCAGATACAGCCCAGGAGTCTGACCAGGAAATGATTGAACATCATCATGTGGATCTGATGGAAGCTGAGCAGCCTGATTCTGATCATGACCTTGACCCAGATCCAGACCCTGACCTTGAGAATCATGACACTGACAGCAAGCAGACTGGTAAAGATGATGACAGTTCAGAGGTGGACCCAGTGTATGAAAATGCTGTTGATAAAATAGAAGCAGATAAAATAGAAGCAGAAACAGTACAGAGTGTCAATTCTGCCCCAATAGATTCCAAAATGGAGGACAAGAAGGAGACACCTGATAAACAATCAAGTCATGTGACCAGTGATGGTCAGGTGATCAATCATGTGATGGAAAGTGAAAATGAGGTTGTTCTAGAACAGGTGACAATGAGTGAATCATGTGATTATGAAAATGACAAGATTCTTCCCAGCCAATCAGAATGTCTGGATAATTCCAGTAATGATGAAACTGTTGTCGAGGATTCAAATCAACCAGACATAAACTCTGAAAACCTTAAATCTACGAACTCAGAAAACCCACAAATAAATTCAATTGTTGATTCCATTGAAGGTGCTAATTTTTCTGATTCTGACTCAACTGTGACTCCTGTACCCTATTTCAGTGAAATGGGTGATTCCGAAATTGACAATATGGCAAAAAGTGATGCAACTCTTGTTGGTTCTATTAATTCCATTCTTTCCGATACAGACAGTACCCAAGACCCTCCAAATTCTTGTGATTTATCATGTGATTCACAAAGGACCAATGAAAATGAAGAGCAAGTTCAATCCGACCAATCAAATAAACCAAGTGGTGGAATTGAACTTTGACCTATGTATTAGCATCAAAGAGAAATTTTAGTACAAATCTGGTTTTATTGTTGCTAAGTGAAAATAATATATAACCTGCTCTCTAAGTGGTTAATATTAACTTCCATATAAGAATCAAGAGTTCTGTTCTTTGGTAGTTCAGATTAAAAGTGCTGAAAGATTCTAAATGGGTGTTGCCAAAACTTGGTGAATGCAAATGTAAAGTGCTATCATGACTTATGGTTGAAACGCCAAAAAAATATGGAAAGGTTCAAAGGCGACAAAATAAGGCTCTGTATGTCCATGTGATTGTCTGATATCTCTTATAATGATTCATATGTTGTACAGTAAAGAGGTCTCCGAAAATATCAACTGAGAACCTCATCATGTGACTTCTTTTACAACTATAATGTGATCCAAGGGATGGATGGATGTTGAATTTGCGGGCATTTCCCTATTCCATGAAATATTTTTCGTAAATCGTCCATATCTTTGAGCTAAATGCGAGGAATACCAGAAGGGAACCAACAGATCACAATAATTCCATTAACCTATAACTAAGTTTTAGATTTTTTTCGAATTGTCTGAATATCTGAATAAGGTCGTTTCCATTAAGTTTTATACAACCATATTTATTTCGAAGAGTAAAAAGAAGAATTGTATTAAAGCAATGGTAATTAACAGTTTTTATGCATATCATTAGTGGCCATATTAATTGAGGCATCTTCGTTTCAAATTACCTTTCTGGTTTTTAAGTTAATGGAATATAATTTACTTCATATTTCTGAATTATTATTTATCTTGAATTCATATGGTAATATTCAAAGTGAATTAATCTTATTGCTGCTGGATTTCATATTACATGTATTTAACACCCCTCAACCATTAAATGAACTTTTCTACTCATGCATGCATTTAATTAAAATGATACTGTCATGCATGTTTGGAAGAGTTTATTTGCAAAAAGGAAGGGTGACTGACATATTACCAACTTTGCCTATATAATATTGATTCAGGCTATATTCTTATTTCAAAATGGAAGATCTGACTCAAATTACTATTGACTATAACTTTTATCAAACAAGTTCTGTAATGTCATTGACCAAGTCTATAGGCAAGATTATCTGTGAAGAAAGTTGTTCAGCACGGCTATGACATCTGATTCTGTTTATTGATGAGAAATAGAGAAAATGTTAAGTAAATGTCAAGGTCAAAAGTTATGACATGTTTATTTGTTATTGTAATAACAGTATTAATTATACAGTGTTATTATATGACTTGACAAATGCTGGATATGTTTGGAATGGTTTGACTAGTATATGCAAAAAATGTTTTCGTACAGTCAGAACAAGAGTGAGCTTAAAAATGCTATCAGCTATTTTGATATATTTGTGGTCTTATTTCTGTTTCTTACTCTGACTACTGCCCCTACTTTTATGACCTCATATGCAAATTGTACAAAATGAAGTAAATCAATCAAAACCATAACCATTTTCAGTTATTATACTTCAATTTTTCCTTGTCATACATGATATATTCTTGGTTTTCTTAACTTTTTCTGAAATGTCTGTACTTTTTTAAATTGCCAATGAAATCAATTACATTTAACTTTTAAGTTTCTGTCCCCATGGTAACCTTGATTGGATTTGGTAGTTATATAATTAGTCAGATTTTGAAACTTATTTTGAAAGGAAAATATTTGCTGTAGTGATTTTAAAGTCATTATATTGAAGAACTAATGATAGCAGCAGTCCTTGTATGAATTTCCTCCCTGATGTTTAAACATGTATAAATGAAACTTTGTATGTGAAGTGTTTGCAGCAGTTTTCTTTTGCATTGCAAACCAAACATTAATATCAAGGGTGGGTAATGTTTCAAAATCTGCAAACCTTTTCAACCAATCATAAAAAAGGTCAAAGTGTAAATAGTTGCTATATATATATATATATATGGAAAATAAATATATATATATAATTATAAAAAAATGTATATATACAAAGCCTAATGTATAGTTTATATTCCTATTAGAGATGTGCAAATGCATTGAAATTATGCACTCTAGACATGTGCAAGATATAAGGTAGAACCTATGCACACCCCTATTTAATTTAATGTAGTTGCCTTGTGAATATGATTTTGATACAAATGTTATATTAGCTTTTTTATACCCAGGATATTCTCTTACTTTCTATTCTTGAAGAAATTTAACACCAAACTAGCAAAGTCCACGCTAGACTAGTAATCAATATTTTATATTCAATCATCAAATAAGTAAAAAACTTAGCATGCCTGTATACATTGATGAGATCTCAGTCAAGTTAGAAATTAGTAATAATCGTATGAACATTTTCAGAGTTATTGCCCTTGACTTAGTAAAAAGTGTAGTGATTCTTTAAGATGGAATTTGGAGCTATTTTTTGATCCTATAATAGTTTATTTTGTATAGCACTTGAAATAGATCCTCCCTTCATCAGGCTGAAAGAGATTGTCAATTCAATATTCCTGTGCAGTTTTCTACTTTTGAACACAGTGGATTTTTTGATGGAATATTTTCAATCATACTTCAAGAATAGAAGTAAAATGAATATAAAGGGGTATAAAATTGAAACATTGTTTTATAAATACACTAACAAGAAATGTAGTCTGTACAGATTTATTATTATTATTATTATTAATATGAAAAGATTTGTATCATAAACTGAAGACTTATCATATTATTTCATTATTTATAATCGGAATAAAAACTCAAATATGATTATTTTCCTTTAATTGTCCATGTTGTGAAGACAGATTATCATAATACAATTAACATTTTAGGTCTCTTGGGCATTTAATTGTCCATATGGGTGAAATATAATGTCACCATTCTTTATAATAAATGCAGCAGAACTTCACCACATCATAATACACAAATTCCCATACATGCAAACAACACAAAGACAAATACAACTGTATCAAGACCATTAAACAAGGAATGGAGGCTGGCTGTTGGCGTCCACTTTGTAGTACAATAGGCCGACTGAGACTGTTTCAAAGAAATGTTTGGTCTACAGTGTTAAAATAAAAATATCCTGCTGTCGAAATGTGTAAGATAAACCCATTCCAAGGACCAATCCTGTGATTGGGAAAAAAAATTTATCATGGAAAATAAAATAATCATGGCCATGAGTAAATTACCAATACCCTTCCTGATTGATTTGAAATAGACCTACACAGTGGCAGAGCAAAAGAGGGGAGCAGAGGTGGGGCCGCCCCCACTTGCAGTCCTGAATGCAAGTTTTTCGGGCATGACTATCATAACTAGGTTAAAAATTCGAGCAACCTCAGATTTTTAACCCCCCCTCAGACATCCAACCTGGCTCCGCCACTGGACCTACATTGTCCTTCAGGACCAGTAAATGCCCCTTCTTTTCCTATGTTAAGTTAATTTCAAAAATAAAAGTCGAAAACAAGATTTGATATCTAAAACTGATGAATGTGGACAGTATAAATAGTTGTTAATGAAGGTGAAAAGGCAAGACAGAAAAATAACCTACTAGAATTTTTTACATAAAGATATTGAAACACTCTTCTGTGTAAAATTCACATCAGAAACACTTTATACTGTGGTTTGTCAGATACATGCACTCCCCTTATTTCCAAATGGTAATATTTACTCTGCGCATTACACATGCGTATTATACACGAAAATGTACGGAATAGGGCAGCCTAAGAAATCAAAGGGAGATAATTATTGGTAACCGGAAGTAAACGAAAGTAGAAAAATCCAAGATGGTTGACGAAGCCACGAAGAAATCATTAGCACAAATTCCTTTGCTGAAAACTAAGGCAGGACCTCGAGATGGTGAATTATGGGTGACGAGATTGAAAGAGGAGTACCAAGCGCTTATAAAGGTATTAAATTTTTCGAGGATTTCCCCAAATTAATCGAGAAAATTACATATTTTGATGAACATCTGTTACTTCATTTTAGAAATTTAGAATGTGACAATTTTGTGATAACTTACAAGCCTATCTTTTATCCTGGTTATCATAATCTTTTTTAATAAATATTTCCATTGAAATCATTACAGTAAATGAAAAGAATTTTTTAAGAATTTGAATTTTTATCACCAACTATATCTTATATTTTTAAAAAACCTGAATCATCTTGTTGCAAGTAGAAAGTCTGAAAGTGAGCAGATGAGGATTATTGTTGACTTGTATTCATGGGTGAACCCATTTATGGTTTGATACATGGTGAAAGAACTATCCATATGCTTGAACATTATATTTTTTCTTAAACTATCTGAAGTCAATGTAGAATATCATCATTATTACAGTATGTACAGAATAACAAGGACAGTGATAACGACTGGTTTCGGTTAGAATCAAATAAAGAAGGTACCAGATGGTTTGGTAAATGTTGGTATGTTCATGAACTTCTCAAATATGAATTTGATCTGGAATTTGATGTAAGTATTAGATTCAATCAGTTCCGCAGAAAATTTGTTTCTTGTCACTGGACACTCAACCTCACTAATTCTTACAATTTTAATTTGAAAAGAATTTGATATTTGGAAACAGCCGAGAGTTGTATTTGAATCTGTAAAACGTTTCCTTTGGAATTCTCCTATTTGTTATAAAAAAAATTAATCAACCCTTTTTTTATTTAAAACTGTATTATATATCTGAATATTTTGAGGTTTGAATGGTGATGGTGTTTTCTTCTTTTTCCTCCAGATACCTATTACCTACCCTACCACAGCCCCTGAATTAGCACTTCCTGAATTAGACGGTAAAACAGCTAAAATGTACAGGTATGTATGTAAAGAGTGTACATGTATTACCAGTAAGAGGGATAAGAGGGATAGTCAGTAGCTGGTTGTATTTTCAGTTTACAGCTAGCTTTGAATAGTCATGAAGTGAAGACTTAGTCTGCATGTTATCAGCACAGTTTTTAAATCTCCTACTGTGATATTTTGATCTAGATGGATTTTTTGCATATAAATTATTGATATCACACAGCCACACCAAATGGTATTGTCCTATTATACTTCACTGCAGAATTGGGCAGTAAATGGCACCCCTGGTATTTACTTTTGGAATTTACCTGTAATTGCATGACGGTAAGGTAATGCAGAGTAACTTATCAATTTATTTATTTTAGGGGAGGAAAAATATGTCTGACAGATCATTTCAAACCTTTATGGGCCAGGAACGTACCTAAATTTGGAATTGCTCATGCATTATCTCTAGGGGTAAGTATTAAATACCTGGGTTTAAATAGAGCAATCATACAACCTTAAAAAGTTAATATCAGTTATTTGATGAAACTTACATACCATGACAAACACGGCACCTATGTACTTATTTTATAATGCATGAAATTTGGTTAGTGAAGATTGGAGCATAATATTTTGTATATAATGTGTATCTTGGTCATTGAGAGTGAGAAAATGATTTGTGAATCTAGAATGCTTTGGAGAGTTCACACTGGTATTTATATGCAATACAAGTGTTCCTGGTAGAGAACCTTCATCACTGACTGTTAATTAGTGCATTTAAAATACAATTTATTTTATGTTTCAGTTGGGACCATGGTTAGCTGTAGAAGTACCTGATTTAATACAGAAACAAATAATAACTCATAAAAGTGAACAGGCTGAAAAATGATGATCATTTCATTCTTAGAATCAAAACTTAAAGAACTTTTTCAATATACTGTGCTGATTTACTTCACAAATTTTACATCAAATGTTGAAATATGAATCATAAAGGCATCGTCATATACTTTTCCCTATAATCTGCTGATGCAACTAAGATTTAGTGTCCCGTGACCATTTTTCAGAATTACTAATCTGGCATCTAACTTGTGTGGTCAATACACAACAACAATGAAAAGTGACAACATTAAGATCAGATATTGGCTATATTTTATTTTCTTTCCTCATTATAGCAGTAAATCAGGAACTGGTTTTCCTGGACAGATCAAGAGGTTTAATGGCAAGAGAGATCCTATCCTGAAACTTTATAAAATTTTCTGTCTGGTTATTACCATTGTGTCATGTTTTTTCAATATATTTACTTAGTGAATTTTGCTAATTGTAATATTGGACTTATGCCAACATGCAAGCTGTATCATTCTTGGGTTTACTGATGTCATTTAGTCTAACAAGAAAAGAATATTAAGTCTGCTATGCCTGTTGTTACTTAGAAATAGCTTGAAATCAGGTTATAATCCAGATTTGACTCTGAAATATGGTCAATCAACCATATTTGTTGAGGTATAACTCATAAGTCTTGCATGCACATTTTCAATAACTATTTATTTAGCCTCAATTAGACTGCTCAAAGACTCTCAAAATGATCTTAGTACTAGGATATCCTAGGGTATTAACTTCTATCACTGTTTCTAGGATATCCTATCGCTAAGATCGTTTTGAGAATACATGTCCTGGTGTTTATGTGTTGTTCCCACATGTGCAGAATGTATTTGCTGGACAAAATCAGCAAAAAATATTATAAATAAATAAATTATTGTTTTATTATTGGTGGAGAGGGATTTTATTATTATTAAACTGTCTTCTTTATATATATTATTTTGACTGGCTTTTAATAGACTAATGCAAATGATGCCCCCTTTACACTACCTTTAACTCTTTCTGAAATAATCCAAAAAGTATTCACACCACATAATGGATTTTATTATCAATTTGGAGTTATAATTATATATTGATGTTATAACTGTGGTCTTTAATCAAGTAGTTTTCTTTCAAAATAAGAAGGAACTTGCATCATTTGTTTGGTCTTTCATTTCATTCTTTTACAGTGGTCTGGAACAGAAAAACAATATTATTTATCATTTAAATCAAACTGATAGATGTCATCCTGTAAGCTTTTATATATTTACATTTAATATGAGATTTGAATCATTTTGACTAACTGCTTACATTCAGTGAATACCATAATTTGCTAGTCTTTTGTATATTAGATGTCATCTAGTTGATGCCAGGGAGAAACCATGCCTTATTTAATATTCTTACTCAAGAAATATTGTATGGTTTCAATTACATATTTTTAGTTTTCAAAGAGATACAGGGAATATTGTTTTCAAATTTAACTCCATGGAATCTCTATAATTAGTGTTGTGCCAAGAAATGGTTTTCCCTTCGTTGAGGATATTTTTAACCTTTTTAAATATAATAAGTGAAATAAGGTTTCTCACCCTGAACATCGACAGGTATAGTCTTTAGTTTCTCTAACTCTTTCAATGGACAGTCTCTGATTAGCCAGTCGACAGCAAACAGTGATACCATCCAATATCACACTGGTAGGACTTGGACAAAGAGCACCCTGAAGACAGGCCCCTGTGATCTCTGAAGGATAGCAGTAATAAGGGTTTAATCAATTACCACCAAGGAAGAAACCGTCAGACTCAGTACTCAAAGGTGATAGCGGTCTTGGCTAATGTTCTCAATCTCAAACGAACCATCTAACTTACCCAGATTCTACCAGGACTACCTAGTCTCTCTCATTGTGACCAATCGTACAAACTAAATATATTATGATCGTCCCCACTAGAAATCAGATACTGACCCAGGTCACCCAAGAACTCCTGATTAGCACCAATAACCCTTTGATAAACTAGGCTATACCATACCTGGTTTCGGTGGTGGACACATCATTTCTGTACATTGTGAAATACCATTCATGCAGATACAGGAGTTGCAGTCAGCTTTGTAAGAGTCGCCGTTATTATACATGGTTCCATTGTATTCACACGTACCTTCAACAGAGATTAATATAATAAATCGACGGTACCAGTATATCGCGTGGAGTTATTGCTCCAACCTATTGATCTACGGCGGCTTAAAACATGGGATCTCTTGTTCTTTGTGTTAAAATCTTTCAAACTCCGAACAAAAACAAAAAGAGAGAGAGGAGCTCATTTAGGTAGGTAGATGACAAGTTAACGTCCGCAGATAAAAGGAAAACCACTTACCAGCCGGATTACAAGCCATCTTGGTACAGGACTGTATACCATTCTTACACCAACATGTATTACAGTCTATTTTATATACGTCCCCATCCATATGGACTACATCATTTACTTTGCAGTCTCCTGAAAGAGAGGATTTGTGGGGTAACGAGTCATTTATTGGGGCATTGGAAGCGTTAGTGATTGTGTAAGAATATGGCCTTTCATATTACAACCCAATCACTTACATGCTTAATGTGCCCGTGGTCCTCAAGATATAAGTTGAATAGTAACTACCTGTCAAGAATATATACCCATACATAAGATGAATACCTATCCAATCGAAACTTATACCTACTTTTAGATTTACAAGCCATTTTAGTACAGGCCTGAATCCCACCTGAGCACCAACATGTATTACACTCAACTTTGTAAACTTCGCCATTCTTGTGGACGGTACCGTTTACGACACACGTCTCTGCAAAAGAACATACAATAAGTTCCATTGCTCGGAGCTCCCTGGATGATATATTTGATCAATAAAGAGTCCGAGACAGTTCCGTCATTGTATCACGTTTTTCAAATGGCCTTCCAATGTGTTCAAATTGTGTTCTTCTTATCAAATTAAGATCACCAAGAAAGTATCAATTGGTTATCAGGAACATTTTTTCTAGAATTTTTAGAAAAAACTGCTGATGCATCAACACAATCCAAATTCGTTGACGTTAAAAACATATATTCTCAATACACGCTTTCCAGCCAAAAAATCTTCGTCCAGGGTAATATAGCATAAATTGTGCAAGTGCAACGCAAGATCAATTCGCCTACAGGATAACTGCAACTTTTCCTAATAGAATGAATGACTTACTCGAGGGTTGTGGAGGACAAGCCTTCAATGTACAAACAGATAAACCATTGTTACAAGAGCAGGTATTACAATCTATCTTAAATTTTTCACCTTCAGAATAGGATGTTCCATTATGGACACATTTTTCTGGAAACAAAATAGAAAAATATAATACAAGAACATCATTTAATGGGAGGTATATAAGTCAATTTTGAAAAGTCTTATGGAAGTTAAAGCGATATATAAGAGTGTTCTTACTTGGACAGATAAGATCAGTACATTGAAGATGTCCACTTCTACAGATACAGCTGTTGCAATCCATGTTAAACTGTTCACCTTCTTGATAAATCTGACTGTTATATCTACAGGTATCTAAACGACAAGTATGGTATATATTAGAAGATTTATGTTGTATATCAGAAACCTTCAACATCATTGAGAAAGCTCAATCTTTAAGATTTCAATGCGGTTTCCCCAGATCGGAGGCGCTGACATGTAAAAGGCGTTTAGTCCTTCGATGATTTGATCGATAACACTTCAAAAGTTCAAATCTCGATATACCTTTCTTACCTGATTTAGCACAGAATTGAGTGGTACAGATCGGTACACCATTTCTACATGTACAGTTATTACAATCCACCTTAAAGCTGGCTCCATTCTCAACTAATTCTCCATTGTGTTGACACCGTCCTACAAACAATTGATACATTGGAATCACAAAAGCACCTTATAAAGACACGCTTCTTTATTTGACAGTTTACCGCAATAAGGATCCAAGAGGCTAAGTCTACAAATATAGGCATAATTGTGTTCATAATGTGTCCGATGGATGGCTATAAACAGCACATACCTGTCATTCAATATTGAAAGGTAAATTTGCAATACCGGTTTCCCTTTCAAAAAGGAACAATTTCACTTTACTTTCTCAAGGTCAGGTGCGCGCAGGTACGTATCTGCCCACAATCGGATAATGTCGCCTCAGAACATCAGCTCTATGTTGAGGTCCTTACCTGGTTTACAAGCTCTATCGTTACATAGTATTTTACCATTTGAACATCGACATGAGTTACATCCCTTTGAAAACAATTGTCCATCAGTGTACCGTGCTCCATTATCTACACAATACGCTGTAAGATAAAGAGTGGGTCATTGGTTTTTATGCACGTACAGGAGCTTTACAAGCACACACAAGAGCAACCATGCAACTTTCTCTTGCAGTAGAATAGCTTATAAACATTCACTCATTATACCTCATTGTTTCAGACCGAACAAATCAAACATCTAGAATTGTACGTTTATCAGACTGACATTTTCCAGAGTTGATAACCAGGTGTCATTAGTTAAATAAGTGTTACCATTAGAACAAGTTTATATATTCATCAAACAGTTAACTTACGTTCACAGATACAGAGTCCAGGACAACCATCTAGAGCCAGTCCACTGGGAGAGCTGTACAGTTTACAACTGAAGGCACATATTGACTCACAGAGACTTTCAGACGATGCCGGTGTTTCTTGTAGAAAATTTTGACCTGGAATAAAATGCCAAAATTACTATTTTGAAGAGCAATTTTAAGATCATGTTTGGTTTCTGGCAGAAATCTCTGCTTGGTGAAAAACACTGCTATAAATTCTGCTTACCATTAACGGCAATGAAAAAGGCTAAAATGACAAGATATTTCATCTTTCGTGAATTGATTAATAAATTCCTCAGGTTTAAACTGTTACATTCGTTATTTTCTCTCGAACTAAGGACAGATTATAGAGTGTGGTAATGTTTTATAAGAAATACTGAGCAAACACAAGGAATAAAAGATAATTGGTAGTTTAACCACGAAAAATAGGGTGGCTCGTTTCACTGCAACAGGTCAAAAACGTGGGTTATTATTCATTTCATTTATATCAATATTTGAATTAACTCTTAATGGGCTTTATATCCGTCTTTAAAGGAGGAACTCCGCGGATTTTTAATCTGTTTTCAGATCGGTTCGACATTTATGTGGGAGTTACCAAACTATCATATCATGTTCCATCTAATCCTATAGCTGGCTACTCACCCTTATTCTAGCCGATGAACGTCTTACATACACATCAGAGGCTGATACTGATCAAAAGACTTAATTCCTAATGTCTAATGTCTACAAATGGTATCTGTTTTTCCTATGACAAAAGACTACTTTGTTGATTTTTTGAATTCTGAAAGAGGCTTTCCAGCTGTAAAAATAAAGAACTTTAGGCTTGGTGATACCTTTGAACTGTATATAATGTTAGATTTACTCTAGCAGACAAAGTACAATCTGAATTTTGGTTAAAATAATAATAAAGCTTACTCCTAACAAATACAGCATAATAGTACACAATTTAAAGGGCTTCAGAAGAGCTTTACCAGCTTTTGTATGAGTATCAGGGATATCAGTTACCATGACTCGGATTCCCTGTCTGATATCTGTGTTTTCTATAATTCCAGAAAAGCTATACAAGATTATAACGCCACTATTTCAAGCACCATGCGATATTGATGTCTGGGCCAAAAAGAAAAGAAGACAGGTTAGTTATCGAAATGGTGCAAATAGTCCCTGTCTGGCTTGTACACAAGATATCTCTTTTGAATCCCTTTAGACGAACACGTTCATCTTCGTATACGCTTTAATAATTGATACTCGTAGTTTTTAATGCACTTTTCCACAAATCCCTTTAAATATCAAATTGTCCTTGATCTACATAGCAGTTTATGTTACCACCACCAGGGTTTGCAGAGTTTGAATTGCTCAGAGATTACACATTGTATACAGTTGAAAATACTCTCACATCCATTGTTTTCTCAATGACCAGCTTCTCAGTGGAAACGTAGGGTGGAGGAGGGGGTTGACTCTTTGACTAGAATCTTGTTATTTGGGCGAGAAATATTAGGCTATGGATTTTAGCCTTGAATGAAATCGTAAATAGGCAGTTTGTAATGGATTACTGGACGCCCACGACGCTAAACGTCCAGGCTACTTGTTTATTTACTAATATAAGATAGACCTATACCCATCAGGGACGGACAAGAGTATTAAAATTATCACATTTTTCAACTCTGGGAGACAATACGATCTGTCATCGTGTCATGGTTTGATGAGTTAAATATTTTATAATTGAATGAAATTTCTGTATCGTCCTTGAAAAGTTTAGATTTGATAACAATTAACCCCCAAATTCGAACTGTTGAAAAATAGAGGTAAACACAGATTCGGGTGGTGCCGGAGAACATTGAGATCATTCTAACCACGGCAAATCACATTTAGATGTGATAAACGTCGTACACCAATAATTAATGAAGAAACGAGCAAGGTACCAAGCAATTGTTACCTCAGCAGTGCTGACCAGTATCATCCAACGCCTATTGTGCCTTCGCCTACAAACCTTCACACACCCTGCGTGGTACCAAGGCTAACTTGTCATACAAGGTAACAGGTATATTCACCCAATACGTATTGGGTGGTTTATTTGTATGGAATGGCTGGCTCTATAATGCAAAATATCACTCAAATAGAGGTAAAACTAGGATACTGGGAGATGCAATAAAAATTTCAAACAAAAATCATGTTCAGATGTTTAAGAAGAGTGAGTAAATTTCAGATTTCTTTCCTTGTGCGTGGTATCGTAAGGCACCAGATTCCAGTATTCATATAAAGGGTGCCAATAAGCAGGGCAAAATAAACAAAAAACAATTCATATATAATAACAGATTTATTGTATAACAACATCAACATCAATATGGTAGATATCTAGAAAATATTTACACCATTCAACAATGTAATTCATTACAATCAATTATAGCACTGGAGGATTCTAAACGAAAAAAATAGCACTTAGTCATTTAAACAATTCATATGGCACACAATCACAACTTGACACCAGTAGTAGAGAAGTGACGGGTGAGGTAGAATTGATTGGTCCTTTAACTGGTCCTGCGGGCTTCCACAAAGTCATAGCACTAATGACAATGCATCAAACACATACCACATGCCTATCACACGAGGATAGATTCGGACATGTAACCAGGTCCAACACCAATCAAAGAATTGTCTTCATCAGAGTCAATAATCTCATAAAAACCACTACTCTCACTTCCACCATCATAAGTGACGTCATCATCTGCTTCACGTCGTACCGGAAGTTCTGGAAGAGGTCTTCGTCTGATATCAGAGCGGCTTCTAAACAACTTGCGTTTCTTCTCTATATTTATACGGGAGTACAGCTGGCTAGATATTGGACTGCTGGTTGGAAGATCGTATTCTGCAAAACATCGTGGCAATACGGCGTATGAAGAGATGGCCGTAGCCTTACTGTAGATCGGGTCAATGGGTTGTGCATAACAGGAACAAAGTGAATCATTGGCTTTTTGGACTTGTGTGGAGCAATTTCTTCTACATGTTGGACATAAATCGACGTTGGACAAGTCTGTAACCAATTCCTGGGTAAGGGAGGTAATTTCTTTGGCTAAGTAGTACGTAGCGTATGACTCGGGACTGCAATCTGGAACCTCTTCGTAGTCATGATCGCTTAAACTGTCGTCTTCTAGCTCGAAATAAAATGGTGGCGTGACATCGGGATCGATGCAACTTCTACTTTTCTTGTTAGAACCGGAAGGAGCTGAGTTTCGTCTACAACGTTTCTTGAGCCAAGTAAGCATGATGGCGATTTCTGAAAAATTAAAAAAGGATAATGTTAAATGAATAATTCGAATGTAAACTAAATATTTAAAGATATTTGACCCGTTTGACTTTCATACTACATGTATGACCTTTTCGCGGTGAATAGTTGCTCATTTGGTCTTCCTTACTTATGTCGTGAAGAATAAGATGTTGTGAATCACGAACAATGTACAAACACATCTTAAAGCACATTTTCACATGGTGACACATAATATGTAGCGACCTATTTAGTCTTCCGAAGAACAACATAAGACTATTTGAATACAGTCGTTGGATGCTTTAATGTTGAAAAGAATAAGGTGTTGTCAAATCACGAACAAAACATATACAAAGTTGTTGAACAAACTTTAAATTTAAAGATCAGAGGGAAAATGACAAATGTACTTACCAACTAAGGGTGTGATATCAAACTTTGGTAAAAAATTGGAAAAAGATTATCGACAGTTTGCTAGATTGTTGAAGGAAGGACATACAAATGTGAATGATAGTTTGAAAATCTGAGGGGATTTTATATATCTAATATGACATTGTCACAGTTTACTCTTGTCATATTGGAGGAATTCAAATTGAGGCAAGGACATCGCCGTCATCGAGTGACAGGAGCTTAAAAAAACAGGGATTATTGCGATTATCCTTAATCGGATAATGATTAACTAAGATTAGTGCAATAATGAAGAATGGCACAATTTTATGACAAATTGACTAATTACGACAATTAATGTAACCTATAATGTACGTGGATTAATTAAAACAATAGTCTAAGCGAGACAAAGGGGAGGTAATGCTGTGATAAATGAATAATTAGATATTTCAAACTATTCAACTAATGGGTATTCAATTATCCTCTACTATGAACTGTTATGACTGCTAAAGAGGTTGAGACCTCACCATGCTAAAAGGTTTTTACGCCATACCCCAGATATCAGAAAACTATAGAATTGGTCATATTAATTAATAATGTCCTTGATTAACAAACAATGGTCAAATTGAGGATTTCAAATCCCTTAGGCCAACCATCAATCCAATTCTCAGTTTTATCGTTTTAGTATGATAATAAGAAATGTTTTATTCTTTTAAATGAAACGAATGGAGTTTTACGTCCAACGTTTTAATAATCAGAAGATTTAATGCAAATTACTATAACTCCGTATAAGTTCTCAAAACATTATCATCTTTAGTTCAATTACATTCACCACTGAAGTCTTTATACAGTATTAATTTCAAGTTGACTAAATGCTTTACAACGGCAATCACTATGGATTCATACGCTGTATCAAGATAATATCTACCGTTGCTAAAGGAACATGGCTGTATATAGCGTTTTACCGTGCTTTATTGTATTTTTAACAACTAAGAATTCGAAAATCTCGAGCTTTGAATAAATAAAGTTGTTCTTTTTAGAATTAATCAAATTGTACAATTCTGTTGGAAAAAAAATATCTCGGAAATGTAGTTTTCAATTTTAAAACTGACTGAATAATCTAATGTTTATTTAAGACAGCATCTTCGTAGCCTAATCGAATAATCGATTAATTAATCTGATTACTGATTAGATCCATCATTGATTGATTGAATTTATTGTTTATACAATCAACTGTCAGGTTTTGAGGAAGAGCCAAAAGTGACAAAGTAGGGATATAAAATGATGACTTTTGTGAACAGATGTCATCGAATATCGAGTTCCTTATCCAAAGCAATTACGTGAACTATCCTCAGATTTCTGAAATTAAAACAGTCAATATCAATCAAGGTGAGTACAAACATTGATATTGCTATGATATCATGTGAATGAAAGGGGCTGTTAAACAATAACACGGCAACAATGAATACATGTAGGCCCTATATAGTGTAATATTTCGAAGCCTTGTGCACAAAGACATCCAAGCACGATAAAATTGTGTTCGATGATTTATATCAGCCTAATTATATTACTTGTCCCTGAATTTGTTTTCCCGAAATAGTTGGATACTTTTGAAGTTTCTATACGAAACACGAACTAACTAGATTACTTATGCAGACAGCGTCAAAATATTTTATTAAGTTATATGGACAATTAGAACTTGCCAAGTCACTTGACAACATTTTGTGAAATATTTTCCATGTAAAACAAGTTTACTATATGGCTGGTTGGAAGTAAACTAGGTCTCAATGGTGGACTGGACTTTTATTTTGGATATTTTTCTATTTGTAAATATTCATTTGTTTTTTATAATTATATGCAATAATTTTGTTTGTAATGTATCACTGCTTAATTGACAATAATCAATTCCTTTGGAGCATTAATGCTTTTCTATTATTTGCTTTGTTAGCATATACTGTATAATAATATCCTAATGCCTATATCTTTGTTGTTGAATTGTTGTGGTGTCTTGATTTATAATTGGTGCCATCGATAAATTCACAGCAGACACCCAGAAGCATAAACACGTTTCGAATAATTAGATCACAAAAATCAATGAAGGCCTTCAATAATTCTTAGAAATAATGTTACAGACATACATAGTAACTTTACAATACAGCTCAATGGTATTTTATATATCAATGAGTTTCAGGATATATTCTTCCGCTAGTTACCCCGGTATCAAACAAGCGACTACACAACTGAGATACCACTTGCTCAAATTGGCGATGTGACGTCATATCCGACTCAATCGATAGGCTATAACTAACTATATTTTTGTTTCTTACAGATGTTTCGATGGATCAAGAAGAAATGTATCAAGAAATCACAATGTAAACATAACCACCCATTACAAGACTCCATCGCCTGTTCTGGTCTTTCATCTTCCCTCAACCAGACGCCAGAGAACACGGGGTTACTGGAAGAACATTACTACTGTCTCGGTGATCAAGACTATCACATTTACACAGAGATTCCTGAAACAGCCATTTGTCACAGGTTATCACGTGATCGTGTTGAGAACTCACCACTGACACCAAACGACTCCATTTTGTCAGAATTTCTTTCGAAATCGTCAGTGGAAAGCGATAATATCTCTCTATGTTCTGTTTGTAGAGTAACGGAAGCCCATCTATGTGATTGTACGACATCAGACTTGAATTTGACTTTAGAAATGGAAAACCTATGGTCAGAATATGCAGAAACTATTTTTCAATCGACACCGAATTCCAAGAGTTGCAGAAAATCATCAACACCAGATGGATACGAAATTGCTTCCAGATTTGTGATTTCCAAACTTGATATGAGTCGCAGACCCCTTCCGCCTATTCCAGGCACCGATGACACAACTTCCGGTGACGACAGCAGTGGGTTCTATGAACCAATGTATTCCGGAAGTTCCCTGACGCCAGAACGTTCTTAATATCATAGTGAGAGCCTTGATGACTTGTTGATTTTGTGTATTATAATTAATCACCTATTTATTGTAGATTAGTTGTGTTTATACTCTTTGTTATGTAATGTATTCACAGTGCTCAGTAAAATATCGAAACGTGCTATCCTTATTACAAATATGATTGACTTGAGATGGTGAACTATGTCCCCTATCACACACCTAGTTCAATGCAGCTCCATGAATATAGACCCTTATATAGTTTCTGTATCTGTATCTGGTTGCAACTTCTCTTGTTCAGTTTGAAAATAAGGCAAGATTCAAAAGAGGTGTATGGTGGTCAATAAGGGACATTTCTTCTCCAAAGCATAAAATGTGCTATTTATTGTAAATATAATGTTATTTATAATGTATTTATTAATATACAATAAATTAAAACGTCGAGTTTTTTTATCATTTATTATTTATTTAACACAATGTTTTCTACAGTCGGTCATCACTATTAACTCTGAAATTATATCGATTTGAAAGCAAATACATCGAGCCAAAATAACAAAGCATTGAATAAATATATTGATTCAATCGTTTTCTAGTTCAACTTAACGAGAATAATGAATGTTCGCTTTAATTTGCCATGGTTCCATTGTCCTGCAGTAGATACTTCAATTGTAGTCTGAGTATATCTTGTATTATCTCCCTTTACAAGTTTACCTTATTGATCGGCGTTATGTGTCTCGTGATTGTCAGACCTGCAGTGCTTTATCCAATACAAGAATGGGTCATAACGGTTAATTTAAGATGAATTCCAGAGAATTCCAGGAATATTTTGAGCATTTGGAAGAATAGTACTTTTATGGTAAGAATCGGGGTTTACTGGTTTTACCGTTTTAGGGGCTACATTGATTCTAATGAGGATATTGCAATTGATTTTGCCAGTAAATTTGCATTTTTTGTAAAATGCATGATGAATTCTGTTTCCTACGATATGTTAGTAATATGGTCAGTGGCATGGAATGTACTTTACACTTTACATATACATAGGCGATAGTGAACGTTTCTGAGGGTTTCGACTTGGTCCTTCGGCAATAGCATATTATTCGGGTATATTTTTGTGCTAATACTGTGGTTAACTATTGAATCCACCCGTTCACTCAATGATAAATGAAGATGATCATGATGCCGGCTTCTGTATTTCTTAAATAACAACGAGAAGCTCTTCCAACGTTAAGTCTTAGCTGCCAAATAACGACTTACCTGCCAAGTATTGTATTCCACGCCTTGAGGTCAAGCAATGTGGAAATAATGCTCGTTTAGGGACTAAGAGGGCAACAAGCTATAGACTGTAAATCTCTCCACCGTCGGAAAGGTAAAACATATTGCTGATGTAAAATCCATGGCACAATTTCCCTCATTGCACACTGCATGTCTACCCCTTTTCACGAGCTCAAAATATGAAGAAAAAAGTAAAACTAAATTTCAATATGCTTGTGGCGTCAGCAAAACAATATCATCGCGACCTAGCCAGTTAAACTCTGTAGGTTGGTGAATGATAAATTATCTTTTGTAATGCCAGACTATCGATTCTGTCTGTGTGTTACACATTGACTACTGCCGTATCTTACAGCAGGTCTAATGTTATTGGATTAGTATATTGGATATACGGAGTGGTATGATTAAATAACTCAGCAGGAATTTAGCATGATTGGTTCTGCATTATAATCAAATTAAACATGGATACAATAATCCAGATGCTGTTGTAGTTAACATACGACAGAAAAGTTGTTACGACATTACTATTAGGCCTACTATACTAATATGAATGTCAACTTGAACTTGATATCTCTCAGCTGAAAACAGTGCCATTTTGACGATTATCTCCCAAAGAAATCGTAAGAAATTCAATCAAGATACATCGTTTTAACTATCATATCTGTGGATTTGCTCATATATTTGTCTGTTGTTTTCCATTTAGAAATAGATTCCTGGCCATGGATCAACAGCAGGATAAATAGTGTACCAATAGTACTATCACCCTATTGTAGAATCTGTAGTTTACCAACCAACCATGATGGAACTTGAAGAAGAAGTAACATTGGTTTACGACCAGAGGACCTGTTGTCTGTGTCACAAGTTCTACACCAGACCAAAAGTCCTGCCTTGTCACCACTATTTCTGTGAAGTATGCTTATGTGACTACCTGAAGTCACGTTTAGATGCCTTCGAGAGAAGTTGCTTTCCTTGCCCTCTTTGCCAGACGATTTGCTCAGCACCTGATTTCAAACGACACCAGACGAAGTGGGCGAGTTGTTTCCCTTCTGTGGATGTGCATCACATCATTGTAGAAGCTCAACACGGAGTCTCATTCGGTAAGTTGATTCATCTTCTCAATGGATCTTCATTATGATTGCTCCTCTCCATCGTGTCCAAATCAAACCCCATTCGTCATACTTCATAAGAAAATGTCAAAACCCGTATTCGTGATACGATGCCTCCTCTCCTACTTCTGCCCAAAAGAGTGTATAGCCTACATTGTTATGAGTTTGAATACCTCAGAAGATAGCTACAGAATTTTCAGCTCTGCTCTTCTTTCAGATAACCGCGGAGAGTAGTGGAGATGCCGTCAGTATGAGTTGCATCCCGAGACATTAATTTGTCAGAAAAAACTAGGCCGAGAAAGCGACAGAGTCAGCATTTATTCAATGATTAACCTTTACAGAAGGGAAAAAAGAGCATCAATTCAGAAACCACCAAATATTTACCAATGCCTTTTGTTTTGCAGATTGCCAGAACTGTAAACATAAATACCAACGTCGACAGTCAGTAGCTGACAATGGAGTATGGTGCGACACCTGTAGGTTAACTCTTTGTTTAGATTGCGAAAGGGATCACAGACGACAATTTGAGGATCACGTGTTGCTGCCAGTCATTGATGGTTCTAATGCAAGAAATAAACTGAATTATCGCCGCGCTTGTGCAATACATCACGATAAATTTAACGACTACTATTGTGTCAAATGTCGGTTAGCTATCTGCTCAAACTGTATAGAATTGTCGCATTATCGCTGCGCGGAAATCGACATAATTCGTGAAGATTTGTCCGACATTCTCCCCAGTGAGACGAGTCAGTCTACAGTGTTCCCTAGTCGCACTCAGAGCCTATATTCCAGTCCTTACAAACATAGAGAAATCTATGAGACAAGTTCTCCGAAAAAGACGTCTACAGATCAAGACGTAACCCTTCGAAACGTCGTAAGATTAGACACAAAATTCTCAACAGACATTTCTCCATGCTTATGTGAAGATATTCTTGTGATAGAAACCGTTACCCTGGTAACGATAATTGTAGCAGACATCAATAACAACAGTTTAAAAGCATTTAGCAATAAAGTTGGAAAAGATGCAAATTCAGAACTGAAAATGCCAAGCAAACCTTACAGGATAGCGAACATTGGAAACGATCACATCGCGACGACTTTGCCATTGACCTCTAAAATATTGATCATCAAGGTTGCTTCAAATCTAGAGGTCAAGGCCACAGTAGACACAGAGAAACGCTACTGTGGAATTGTGGGCCTGAAAGGAAACAAACTTTTAGTTACAACAGCCTGGTCGACCCCGGTTACTATAGATATTATAAACAGTGCTGGCGAAATCCTCGTTTCCATGGCAGAGGATAAAATGGGTCATTCGTTACTATCAGCGTCCTTGACCTACATCAAACAACTTCCGTCGGGAGAAATACTTGTTTCTGATTGGAGTAAAGAGACAATTTTATGTCTTACTCCGGATTTGAAAACGGTAGTATGGAAATACCATGACACAGAGCACAGACTCGATCATCCATTAGGATTTGACTGTAATCGCCAAGGTCAAATATTTGTAGCCGATTTTGATGAAAATTGTATTACTGAGTTATCTTCTCATGGCAAATTTCAGCGTAAACTGATAACTGGAGTTGAGGAACCAAAGTCCGTTGCTATGGATAAACGGGGCAAAATGTACATAGCCACAGGTGATGGTAATATTAAAATTGTTTCGCTTGAAAAATAGGAATCTTTATATTACAATCTTTGTGGCATTTTGAAATAACACTCATATAATATAAACAATGTGCGTCTTGTATAAAGAGCGCATTGTGCTAAGCTATATATGTTTAATCATGAATGCCAGTTTCGTGGTGTTTTAGAAATAATTCAAAGATTTGTTGTAGAACCGATGTACCGGATAGAATATTGTTATGTTGTCATGAAGACAGAGACGCCCTATTTTGTTATCTTATTAACGTAATATATAAATACTTCATGCACAGTGGCGTTTCCAGTTGAAGGGCCTAGCAGAGACCACAAATCTTGAGAGGGGGTGGGGGAGGGGCAAACCCGTAGAAACGCCACTGTCCATGCATACTTGATTGATCTATGTATGTCTATGAACTTCATTGGTGCCCATCCAAATAGATTAAGTATAACTCGCACTATGGTATACAGTCTACATGGTGCGACCTCCAACCAACATTTTCCAGCTTATTTTAGTATCCACATAGATATAAACTCACATTCACTAATTGGTTAGTTTTCACTCAGATATTTGTTTGTAGGTTAGATCATTGACTTCCTTGAGTGGCATTTAGTAATTGATGATATTTTTTATCATGACTTGTATGAGTTTTCGATTATAGGCAACAACCCCGAGAAACATTCCTTTGAATTATAACAATGCAAATATCATTAGAAGCCTTACTCTTGTTTAGTACTGCACAGCTTCGACGTATATATTTAGATGTGCCTTTATTTGGAGAACTGATATGCATCTATCTTGCCTTTTATTTTATTTTTATCATTTATCCTCTGGGTCTTTATGCTAAGATATATATTTAAACCGGGTGGGCATGTATTACAAACCAGTGCTGCAATTCGAGAAATAAGTTGTTGATCTCGTTGAAAAGTTGTACGAAACATCTGCCTCTATTCCAGCCTGATAGCTATTTTGATAGTTTTTGGCCAGGCTGCTCCATTTGACAACCGTCTAGATATCAGAGGCTGAATAGAGTCAGATGTTTTGGACTAGCTGAAAAGAAACCCTGTTTTATGACTAATTATCTAAAGATGTGTTATATTGCATATACATAAACAATATTATAAGATTTGAACGACATATAGAAACGAGGAGCACATATAACAAAACACAGGACAATATTATGTCATTACATCTGATGACGACACGTGTATATTGTGTTGAAACGTTGTGTGCCGAACCTTATTAAAAAATGTGTTATATTCCATAATATTGTCTTGTGTTTTGTTATAAACAATATTGCCCAGTCGTAATCATATATACCAATTTATTTTTGCAAGGTGCGTCAATTTGCAGTATATTGGTTTGTAGAATCATCTTTGCTCAAAAAGTTACAAAAAGCATGTTGAAAGGGCTATACATAAAAGGGATTGTAAAGAGCTTTTTAACTTTTATGTGTACATAATATGTGAACACTGATAGCATCAATTTGCACTATTCTAATTTTTCAGTCGATTCTCGCAATTCCACTTAAACTAAGCTTAGTTTTTGTAGATTGCAAGAACTGCACGACGTAAAATTAGAATGGTGCAAATCGACAATATCAGTGTCCCCAATAAAACGTCTTTACAATACTTGTAAGTAAAATATTAGACCCAAATTTTAATCCATCCATTAATTTCAAACTCTCATTTTTGTTACAAAAACAAGCTTTATAGTTATATATTTTTATTTGCAAAGTTTCAATAAAATGATTTAGAAATTGTTTTTCTTTACTGATTTCCATATTTGTGTTTCCCAGTCAGTTCAGTCTAGCATGGAACGAAGACGGTTTTCCATGGACCATATTCACCATTAAGCAATATCTAATTTCCTCCATCATTCATTAGAACCAAAATTGACAAACAGAATGTAATTATCAGTAGAGAGAATGTAATTATCAGTAGAGAGAATGTAATTATCAGCAGAGAGAATGTAATTATCAGTAGAGAGAATGTAATTATCAGTAGAGAGAATGTAATTATCAGTAGAGAGAATGTAATTATAAGTAGAGAGAATGTAATTATCAGTAGACAGAATGTAATTATCAGTAGAAAGAATGTAATTATCAGTAGACAGAATGTAATTATCAGTAGACAGAATGTAATTATCAGTAGAAAGAATGTAATTATCAGTAGAAAGAATGTAATTATCAGTAGACAGAATGTAATTATCAGCAGAGAGAATGTAATTATGAGCAGAAAGAATGTAATTATCATTAGACAGAATGTAATTATCAGCAGAGAGAATGTAATTATCAATAGACAGAATGTAATTATCAGCAGACAGAATGTAATTATCAGTGGACAGAATGTAATTATCAGTAGAGAGAATGAGTTGATGATAAATGTCTGGATTAATTGATTAAGTGCAACTTAACAGTCATGTGCAACCACTTACAGGAATACAAAATTTCAGACACTGCTGAAAGAATAGCGACTTATTTTCATGCATTTTGTTCTAATGGCAAATGAAATGAAATGAATGGAGTTTTATGTTCTTCTGCTCTAATGGCACATCTATCAAAGGTTAACCAAGCAACCATATATAAAAAAGAAAACTCAATTATGTTTCCAAAATTATTACAGGCCAGTTCATTGGATAATAAAATAAATATGAAGCAATATGATTGGTTGATAAAATAAAAAAAATACTGGTAGTAAAATTGATAACTAAATAAAATGGAGATAACATTGATTTGTTAAGACTTTCATAATATCAAGGAAAGTAAGAAAAACAACATTGTTTTGTAAGGATATAACTTAGTTCTGGGATTATCGGTACACATTTACAGCTTGGTCAAACGGATTAATAAGGAAAGACAATTAATGCAAGGTGACCAAACTATCAAGGTTATGTATGTATAAGTGGAAGATTATTTTATGAATTTCATACAAGAATTTAAAATCTCTATTCCATGAAGCTCTCTTAATCTTTCTAAATGCCTGAAAAAACAAACAAAACAAGTTTGTTAAAACTTTTGTTTTTGGGCCCTATATCTGTGTGCTTTTTTAAGAGCTATTATTATGCAGATTTCCAGAGCCAATCTAACTGTTGAATTTGAATTTTACTGGAAAGGTGCAGGTCTTCATTATCAGAAACATAAAATGAACAAAGAATCAAGACATAATCGTTTTATTTGTACCCTTAGTATATGGAGGATAAGGTTGGGAGTAAAGGGTATCCCAAAGATGCCATAAAAATCTTTTTAATGGCCTAAGGCTTTCCAAATTGACCAGCATTGGGAGAAAACTGCAGCAATCACCAGACTATTCCTCAGACTGGAAAGCGAATAAATTGTGGAAATCATCTGGTAATTTCTCAACCAGAATGGATTGCAAAAGCAAAACCATCATTTCAGTTCCTGAGAGTTTCTATCACTTACCTTTTATCATTTTGAGCTAGTTTTCCCAGTAATATTGCACAGTTTTGTTTAACGTCAGTGTTTTTAACATCTTGTATAATAACTAATAAATCTTTTATGATGTCTGTTTTAGTCAGGGCTGCACCAGATTTCGGTACCTGTAGACAATGACTGAGACTTAATGCTGAGTTTCCTACAACTAATTCATCTTCGTGTTGTAGCAGTTTTACTAATATTCCTAGACCTGCAAAACAGAAAAGTTCTTAACACATTATTTACTTGGGATCTTTTTCTCAAAAGCTAAAAATAAATAGGGATACAGTAATGTGGTTAATATATCAAACTCAATTCTAGTAATTGACCAATAAGATGACTGGAACAATAAAGCTGTCAGATTGCAGTGCCTTTGCAAATGTTTTCATATTTTCTATTGACCTTTAGGGTTTTAAAAAATTGATCAAATGGTCCTTTGACAAGATTCTTCCCCATAATAGAATTTCAACCTACCTTTCTGGTTAACAATATAATCTCTGGCTTTATCATTACTCTGTGTACATGATGTTAGACATTTTACTCCTGTCTTAATATTCTCACTTTCATCTCCCTACAATAGATAACATATATATCAGGGTATCAGAAGAGGTATAAAGTTACTATATGTCAAGAAAGGCTCTTGATGTTCAAGCCTCAGTAAGATCTTAATTTATTTTTATTATTTATTGTTTCAATGAAGAATTTTCCAGTCAATTATCTTGTATTTTTATTTTCATCCACAATATTATTAAAGGTTCATTAGCAAAATGAAATCTTTCATGAAATCAAAAACTACAATACCTTGACAAAATTCATAAATAAAGAATACGCTTCATGATTACAAGCCCAGTTGACAGCTTCTGTAGACTTAGGTAAGATGTGACTCATCAGTTTCATGGAGTAGGTTTTCAGGTTGGAAGACTCGGGAAGGTCTGAACGGATGAAAATGAGACAATGTTGACAGATCTGGAGAGAGAATTTGTCCATGTGACTACAGTCATCTGTTGATAAGTTACACAATAATCCCACACAGGCTGTCAGTGTCTCACAACTTATACTGTCGGCCATATTGAATTTATGAGAGTTCTGAAATGGAAGAAGACAGAAGTTGCAGTGAAATGTAAATCAAAAATTTCTAGTTTTCAAAATTATGATTATTTACATTGTCTTTATTGCTCAGTAAACCATTGATTGTTGACTGTTGATTTGGCTCTAATTTCCAGACATGAACATGACCGGTAAGATACATCAAATGTCTGTTTTTGGCAAGGGTCTTGGCTGATCAAGATTACAATGACAACAATGAACAAAATACAAAATTTAATTATAATCATCTTTACACTCTTGGTCTTCTTTCCTTTCCGTCAATCATGTTCTACGTGTCATGTGTTACTTTTTTCTTTCAACTTTGCTGACAAATCATTATCAAAATATTATATTTGGTTTAAATTTAATGAAGAGAGCTATATTTTACAGAATCTTACCAGTATATTGTAACAAATTTCCCAGAGTTGTGGTCTGCTTGTGAGTTTCTTACGTATAATTTTATCAGCTGATAGGTTGGTCATAAACGTTAAACAGGTTGGAAGGACAGATGCATTACAGGAGTTGTCTTTCTAGAATAGATATTTATACATAGTTATAGTGACATCTGTAGTAAATCATTTAGTGAGTGGTGAGTGTCTGTTATAAACATTTAATATTGTTCATTTAAGAAACTTACAAATATGTTTTAGAAATATTTTTCAAATATTGATTTTGTTTGTATTGTATGTATTGAAAAATTTTCAGAGACTTTATACAAATGATGGTAGTAATAAATGAATTAATAAAGTAATAAAGTAATAAATGCTCAAACTGTGAATAAAAACTTACTATTAAAGTTTCAAATGAAGGAATGACTTGATCTTCTATAGTTTCTCTTATCCTAGCTTTAAACCTAGAATATAGAAAACATTCAGCTGATATATGGAAAATAAAGTTACTGTAAAAACATTGACCAAGGGCAACCAAGGGTATCTCAAGGATCTTCTATACTATCTGACATTTGGCCAAACCTCTTGACATTGATCTCTAATATTCCAAACAAATAAAGGATAATGTTTCTATCATAGTTCTAAATTTCTAATTCTATGACTATTTTCAGCTTACCTATTATCAAGAGCTATGTTGTTTATCAATGCTGCTGAGGTTCTGGCTGTAGTGGAATTACTTTTTATCTGATGGAAGATACAAGTTAATAGCCTGAAAATATAGAACATGATATACTGGCAATGATAATTCTGACAAAATATCCATCGATATCTAATGGACCAGTTCTTGGTAGGATGTATATTCTTTTCAGGATTTAAGTTAGTCATTGGTGTGAAAGAGAACCGATAATGTAACTCAATAATTGGCAATGAGAGAATCACTGAAATACACCAGGATTGCAAGTCAAACTGTCAACTGCCACCCATTTCCACCAGATTTTCAAAAACTTACTTGGACAAGTCCATCTGTGTAACTAACAATGTTTGTCCGATTTTACTGGTAGATATCACATGTAATAACTTGATATACGACCATTTTATATTACGACCTTGACCCTTAACCTTTGACTCTAAAAACTGTATCACACTCGATGGAAAATCTTTGGATTTTAACAGATCAGACTTGTTAGAATCTGAAAAAATGGGAATTCAAGATTTCTAAATAACATGGAATATGAATAGTAAAAATTAACATGAATATAAATTGAAAGTATATAGCTTCAGAAAACCTTGCCTTGTGCAATGAGGGAAATTTTGCCAGATTTTCATTTCTTACATTCCAACTTTTGACAAGAAACCGTAATTCAAATCAATAGCTAGGAAAAAGAGGAAATCTTTAAAACCACTAACTGACTCATCCACATTAAGATGTAAGGATGAGCTACTGTGAACAAGGGGGGTGGGGGTTGTCTTAAGAAACTAGAGCCCTACCATTATCAGTACAGGCTATAGTATACATATTAATACTGGAGTCTAACATATCTAGTTCTTCTCGGTTTAAACTCATGGGTGAGGCTGTTAAACATTTATGTAGACAATTGTGTGTTTGAATCAGCTGAATTCCACCTTGGGTTCTAAATAATGTTTTATCATTTTCTGAAAAAGTAAAACATTAACACTGTCATTTTAAAAACTTTACAAGCTAGATAGTAGTAAACCTTTTTCTCAAATAGGTCTACAGTTTTCTCACAATGCCAAATATCTGACTGACTAGGAGAAAAAAATTTAGTAAGATTGAATCCATCCCAAAAATGTATGAATGCAGACAAAAAAGACGGTGAACCCACAGTTGGTTTCATTTCAGAATACTATTCAATAACAGGAAGCACAAATAATTTTATTATAAACACAAGCATTAAAAGCATAACAGATTAGAATTTCAATGTTATCACGCCCTAACGCGCCCTTACCATTTGTTAACAAGGATCCAATAACTCTAAACCCTCCACTATAATATAGAGGTAGTTGATCAGGTTTTTTCACCTTCTCCAGTATCTCAACCAGACTCTGAGCTTCTTTATCTCCTGTTTCGAAGAGTTCCTTAGCCTTCACCTCCTGTTTGTCTCTTGTTTCTTCCAACTCAACATCAGCTAAATAGTCTGAAATAGATAAGAGAATCAATGAAGGGGTATATTGGAGTCTGGGAATGTCTCTAGCAATGTTTGCAAGCTTTGTCTGATTGCAGCCCAAAGTTCAACAAATACTTATAAATTTGTAAAATATTTTATCAATATTTCTTCAATCAACGAGTAAACTTAATTCATACAATGATAAATTTCTAAATAATGGTATCTTCAACTTACCATCAACTAGTTTCTGTTTTTTTAGATCTATTTTCAATATTTCATTGAAGCAATCTCGAGCTTTATCAAACTGTTTCAATCCTAGTTGAGCTCGTCCCATATGAACATGTGCTTTTATACAGTCTTTGTTTATCTAAAATAACACAGATAGTAATAAAAGGTATTTAGATAAAACATGGGGAAAAAGCATCCTGAACGCTGAAATCATCTTCTGCATGCATTGCTATTATAGAAAAGTGTTGGCAGATCATCAATCACCATGCTCAACTATTTTCTAGCAAGCAATATGTCGCTTTGTCCATCTGTATGCTGTACACTACTTCACACGATAATTGAGCAACTATAGACTAGCAGAGGGTGAGATATCAAATCCCCTTTTCTCAAAACATGTAACCATAAATTTTCAATGTTAGTGTAGTCTTACAAAGTAAATTTTTGATACATTTAAATAAATTATGAGTAACAGAGTCCAGATAATACCTACCCTTAGAGCCCAGATAATACCTATCCTTAGAGCCCAGATAATACCTACCCTTAGAGCCCAGATAATACCTACCCTTAGAGCCCAGATAATACCTATCCTTAGAGCCCAGATAATACCTATCCTTAGATCCCAGATAATACCTACCCTTAGAGCCCATTTAATACCTATCCTTAGAGCCCAGATAATACCTATCCTTAGAGCCCAGATAATACCTACCCTTAGAGCCCAGATAATACCTACTCTTAGAGTCCAGATATACCTACCCTTAGAGCCCAGATAATACCTATCCTTAGATCCCAGATAATACCTACCCTTAGAGCCCATTTAATACCTACCCTTAGAGCCCAGATAATACCTATCCTTAGAGCCCAGATAATACCTATCCTTAGACCCCAGATAATACCTATCCTTAGAGCCCAGATAATACCTACCCTTAGAGCCCAGATAATACCTACCCTTAGAACCCAGATAATACCTACCCTTAGAGCCCAGATAATACCTACCCTTAGAGCCCAGATAATACCTACCCTTAGAGCCCAGATAATACCTACCCTTAGAGCCCAGATAATACCTATCCTTAGAGCCCAGATAATACCTATCCTTAGAGCCCAGATAATACCTACCCTTAGAGCCCAGATAATACCTATCCTTAGAGCCCAGATAATACCTATCCTTAGATCCCAGATAATACCTACCCTTAGAGCCCAGATAATACCTACCCTTAGAGCCCAGACCTACCCTTAGAGCCCAGATAATACCTACCCTTAGAGCCCAGATAATACTTATCCTTAGATCCCAGATAATACCTACCCTTAGAGCCCAGATAATACCTATCCTTAGAGCCCAGATAATACCTATCCTTAGAGCCCAGACAATACCTATCCTTAGAACCCAGATAATACCTACCCTTAGAGCCCAGTCACAATCTGTTATAGCCTCTTTATACATGCTTAGTTTTATTTTAGTTTGAGCTCTATTTGTATAGATCACTGGATTATCTCGTATCTTATCCATTGCCTAAAATGAACAATAATATTTGTTTATAAAATCAGAAACAGAAAACTAGAATTTAAAACTCCATTTTTAAAGATCCATTATCTGCCATTTCATTTTGAGCACTGGGGTCTCTGTAGTCAGCAATACCAAACTTGTATTTCAAGGGACATTTAGCAGTAGCAACTGATTTATGGAGAAATGAATTTTCTTCTTTGGGATGACAAAAATGTCAGTGTTGAACGGTATACAATATATTGTAGTTCTTACCTGATTATAGAAGTCTAATGCTTTTTCAAAATTGTCATTTTTAAACTCAATATTTCCAAGCTCTTTCAATTTATCAGCTTCCTTTTGGTTGACTTTTCTTTTTTCAGATCTTTCTTTGGCATCTTGTTCCATTACCGCCATAAACCCAGCTGAAGTAATACAACATCAATCAATTTTTCTATGATTTAACACATTGTTGATCACTTAGATAACTTCCTTCAATAATTCAAAGTCATAAAACATTCACAATTATTTTCCTAACATCACTCTGGAGACAAAATTTGCTAGATGACTGGTGCACAGTAATACACTAATAAAGGATACAACATGATAAACAGGGCATAGAAATCAACAGAAATCATCAGAAAACCTCAATTCCATACCAAATCGGCATCAAAATTAAATTACAAAATTATTTTACCTTGATCAACTCCCTGTGTATCAACTGCAGATGGTGGTTGTGTTGAAGGTAGGGTATTAATAACTGTTTTGTTAAAACCAACTAAAATAGACATCATACATATAGAAATCAGCAGTCATTTTGTTTCCGAAAGTAACCAACAGCTGTTTGATTAGCAAAGATAACATGTTCCTATACCAGGCTAAGAATTTATGATGTAAGATCAGATCAGAACTGGCACATCTGATCTTCAAGTTTTATCCTACATTAATTGTTCATAAGGGACTTTGACACATCAAAAGCATTTGCAATTAGCCACACTTTCATATTTCATCTGGTGAAATATTCCTGGAGAAAAATTATGTCTTGTAAATGGGGAGAAAATCTGTAAAATGTTTTATGTAAAGCATTTAAAGTAGTATTTTATAGAAATCTTTGTCCTTTAAAATCATTAAAAGCTTTACAAGGCATGCTTGCTACAAACAATGTCTTTCATTATTGTCATAGACTTCCTTACCATTTTCCTCTTTTTTGTCATCTTTTATTTTTTGTTTCTCAAGATATTTATCTGCCTGTTCCTCTGCTACTTTCTGTTCTTCTTCTGTTGCTGAATTTAAACCTTTTATCAATGACTCTAGAATAGTAAAAGAAATAGGCTATTAGAGATGTATGATTGAACATCAAGCACAAGTAGACCCATATAACAAAAGCTAACTTATATAGATATCATTATTGAATACTGAAAATATGCCATAAAAAGAACAAATCGCTTAAATTGTTTTTTTTTTATCTACAAGTCCACTCCAAAGTCAAAGGCTGCAGCTAACACAGTGAATAAATTACAGAGGGACTGGACTAAGACACCTGATTGGATCATTATCTAACACAAGTGGGTTAATTCATTTTAATTTTAATGCAGCCTGTCACTGTCAGAGATTTCGGACTAATCTTTTTTGCCACGCTGGTAATTTAATGTAAACAAGTTTACGTTTAGGCCAATATTTAGTGATCGAATACTCATTTGGGGTGAGATCATATCACAAGTTGAAGACGGGTCATTTAAATGGCTACACAGTACATTTACCTATTTCATCCACTTTGGATAGAAATTTTTTGACATCTTTCTCATCTTTGGAAGAAGACATGTTTATTTGTTGATGGCAACCTGCCCAATATCCGGGGACTAGTTATTAGATATGATCTCTATCATTCAAAAAGCACCGAAATTTGTATTTGGAATACAAACACAAGATTTCTTTTTAATTCTATGTAAAATAAATACTCATTCACTTCAAATTGAATTCCAAAATAACAGTTTGAACTGAAGATCAATCATGAAATTTATAAAACAATTCACTATAGTAACTGGTCCCTGTTTATACGGAAGCGGAAGTTTTGCTCGCACCTGCGTAGTAATGACATACCAGAAAACAACAAATAAAGTTAAAAGTAAGTAATTAACAGAATCTAAGTCAATTAATGTAATTATGCGCTGAAACTTTGCTTGTTTGGTCAGAATAAATTGTTGATTACAAACACAGCTGTTTGTGGCAACTATAGACGTAAGAATTATTCACTTGCAAATAAACAACATATTTTTTCTGAAATTCCTAAATAGAAAAAGTATAAAAAAGTAGTCTGTAGAGGGCCGAGGATATTCGCCGAAAGAAACAATTATATCAAAAAGGCTGACATTTCATGAATTTTTAGAGATTTTTTCTGCCACCAGGATGGCGAATAGTCAAATGAATGGACGTGGACCCTGTAGAGTCTAGGCAGGGAAGGACGTAAAACTCCCATCATTTAGCACATCAGGCATAATCTTGTGATCTGAGGGCACTTACCAATTCCATATCAATCATCATGTAAACTAACCAATCCCAGAGTAATGTTTTTGCATAAATTGATGGTTTTCAAAAAATCAGACCATATTGCTTCCATTGACCTGATTTCCTGAAGAATAATTGATGAATGGCCTAAAATGAGGGATTCTGAATGTTTGAAGTAGAATATTAACAACCCTACACAAAGCAGGGTTTTTCAACATTAAGCAAGACAATTCGTTGAACACATAAATAGCTCTTTGTCAAATTGAAATTGTAAATATTTCTCATTGTTTTTTCTTGATTTCTAGATGTCTGAAGATAAAAAACGAGGGGGTGATGAAGCTGAGCATGGTGGACCAGGACAGTTTTATGAACCATTTGTACAGAATGAAGAGTTGATGGACAAACTTAATCTCTTAGACTGTGGCAAAGAATTTATTCGTAAAAATAATTTGAAACCAATCTCAAGGTACGATGTCTTTCACATCAGTTCTGTGCATTATGGTTACATGGCATTTTTAAATGCAATTTGTAAGAAATATTTGTGATGCCACAACTTATCTTTTGATTCTCAAACCAGTGTATGCTCTCTCCTACCTATCTCATAGAATTTGGCTTTTTGGAATTTGTGTTATTTAGAAATAAAAAAATATTCCTTTTTTTTTAAGATGATTTTACCTGACTGTCTATATGTTTTTTTTAGACATTATTTTGCCATAGCCACGAATCCAGGAGAACAGTTTTATTATTTTACCTCTATTGCTGCCTGGTTGTTAAGAAAATCTGGTAAATCATTTGAACAACCACAAGAGGTAAAGTGTGTTTTAATCATTTGAACACTCAGGTATATATCAAATGTTTATGTGGCCAGTAGAGTGGCTGATTGTGTTGAAATAGTAAATAGGTGGTACATTGGGGTAAAAAGTGAAAGCCCAATTATTATAAACAAGATGGCGTTTGCCATTTTTTAGTTTTAACAGTCCTATGAGTGAATTTGACGACAGGTAAAACTGTGACCATTGAGAACTGTCTCATTACAGTTTGAAATTAAACAGAGGCATCAATATACTGGAATTTATCTCTGAAGTGGGGAAAGCATATTTCACATGTGGGGTACAAGTGCCTTCAACACCTTGCTCCTTTCAACATTTAGAAAGATACAATTTTAATTACTTTCTTAGAATGGTACACTTCATAATGATATTTTGTTTGTCTAATTACAGTATGACGATCCAAATGCAACAATTTCAAGTATCTTAGATGAGGTCCGGAAATACGTAAGTCTTATTTTATTATCAACCATTCATTAGTTTCTCTAAACTTATATTTCATTATATGGACGGGTCAACAAATGTTTGCAAATTAAGTAAAATTGTGACTGGTGTTGAAAGAGAAATGAATATTTGAATTTACATTCAGTGCCATTTTTTTGTGATTATATTATTACTCTGATTTCCTGCTATTAAATTAAACTGAAAAATAATTTTTGTTTCAGAATTACACCATAGATTTTCCCCCATCTAAATTAAAACAGGGCTGTGGAGAACATTGTTTATATGTTTTACAGAGACTAGCTGATGAAGCTATCAAATATTCCAACTTTAAATGGCGCAAGTAAGAATATTATTTGTTATTCCTTTATAAGATTTGTATATCACACAAAAAGACCTGGCCTAAATTAATCTGGAATATATCAATAATATTTGATAATATCAACACCAAAATACCACTTTATATTTCTACCAATTTTCTAGGACAAATAGCATGCATATATGAAATTTTTATAATGAATTCTATTATGTTGAAATCTTACTCCTGTATTGGTAATTTCAGACCAGTGTACCCAGAAGAAGAAGCTGAAGAACAACATGTGATAGAAGATGATACAGAATTAACTTTAAATCGGGTTGATGATACACCAGGGGTTAGTAGTATTTCAGATATAAAACCCTCATCAGGACAGCTAGTGTTACAACCCTTATTTTTTCCTTTTAAACTAAGGCTGTGTTTGGTATAAATAACAATCAGTGACACAAAAAAAAACCGAATTCCAAAGGATCATTTTTTTGCAAATTGTCAAGAGGATATTTAAGGCAGTTTAATGTATATTTCAGAATATGTAATGGAATCTTATTGACCAGAGCTCTTATATGCTCTTGTACCTACTCCATGTCCAAGGACTATTGATCTTCAGATATTTGAACGGTCACATCCGTGAAATATAGCCAAAACAATGGTTTTGCAGACAACTGATTTTTGTAATTCATATTCAATGTGCTCATGATATTTTCACTGTAGTTTGATGATATTGATGAAGATTTTGAAGAAGAAGATGAACCTTTAATGGATTTAGAAGGAATGAAACATCTCAACAGAAGAAATGTAAGCCAAACATTTTTGTCTTAAGTTCCCAAAAACTGCAATAAGTTTGGTGAATCTTCATTTCGAGAAAAAAAGACTTCCAAGGTAGTAGTGATGTAATGGAGGCAAATGAGACAATGCCTCACTTATGAAACTATGAAATTATTGTATTGTAAATCCACCAAGATTCCCTTCTGCCTCATTTTAACTTGGATTGTGCTATAGCCAGATTTCAGTCATAATTTTACTTTCGCTCATATAATCATTTCCTTCGCTGTAGCAGATGGAATCATCTAAACCAGAAGAAATTCTGCAGTCTACAACTGATGCTGCAGATTGGAAACTGGAAGTAGAAAGAGTGATGCCACAGTTAAAAGTTACCATCAGAACAGATAATAAGGTATTTGAAATTGTTATGCTTTTGGTCTGAACTTGTTTTCTATATCTAAACCAGTATAATATGGGTTAGTTGATATCTGGAATAGTGTAGACAAGTGGTATTTGGATATATTTGAAAACATTGGACAATAGGATGCAGAGAAAAATAAATATCATACAGCATTAAGTAATTTTTTTTATTTTTTTACAATCTATAAACGAATTTAGGAATTGAGATTTTATTACTTTCATTTATTTGATTCTTTTTGTTCTCTATTTTTTGGTCATTGTCAGGAAATTAGTGAATACTCCAATCAAAGCTGAAGATTCTCAATATAAATCTATTTTTCAGGACTGGAGAGTTCATCTAGATCAGATGCATCAACATAAAGATGGTATAGAAACATCACTGACAGAAACTAAATCATATTTAGACAAGTTACATGATGAGATCAGCCGAACCTTGGAGAAAATTGGCAGCCGTGAGAAATATTTAAATAACCAATTAGAACATTTGTTACATGATTTCCGTAATGTCCAGGAACAGTTATCAGAATCTAAAGAAAAATATCGACAAGCTAGTGGTGGTGTTACAGAAAGATCTCGAATTTTAGCAGAGGTATGTTTAATTGTAGTTTTTTCATGAATATTGGAAGAATACCCCTCTAAGAATGAACATAAAATTGAAATTCTCAAACTTGGTCAATAAAACCATATTTTTCATCATTGGTTTAAATATCTCTTTTTTGGATCCTTTTAATGCTCTTAATCAGATATAAAATATTTACAAGATGTCATGATTTCAAGAACTAGAATGGAACTAACAGTCAAAGGAGTTCAGCTTAAATTTTTTATATTTCCTTATGAAATCAGGTGACAGAAGAATTAGAGAAGATTAAATCAGAAATGGAAGATAGGGGAAGCAGTATGACTGATGGAGGTAATTAACTTTTATAATTCTTTGTGAAGCTGTCTATTGGACTGGTGATGGCTCCAGAAATTCTGTCTTCCTTATAAGAGACTTCTAACCTAATGCTCTTGATTATTGCCAAAAACAATAACCTTTCATGCATACCAATAAAATTTGAATTTACAGATTTGCTAACTACTTTTTTCAGCCCCATTGGTTAAAATCAAGCAAGCTATCTCATCATTAAAGAAAGAGTCAACCCAGATGGACATCAGAATAGGAGTAGTGGAGCATGTTTTATTACAGGCTAAACTTAAAGACAAGGCTACCCAGAGCAAACAGACCCATGATATTTAGTTCTTATTGTTGTTTGTTAAAATTCATTATTTATTAGGAATCAACAAGGGTCTGTGGGGGATAAGTCAATAGGGGAAAGGTGAGGGGGCTGGGCGGATTTTATCACTATTGGTTTGGTGTAAATGTGAAAACAATATCAACATATAAGAATTTAGGCACTAATTCAACAGATATAAAGATATCAAAAGGCTACTTAATTGTACAGTTGCTGTAAGTCCAACTAAATGTATCAGGTATGCAAATTAATTGAATTTCTGATACAAGAAATGGTCAAATTTTCCATGATTTGATATGAAGTGGGGGATAATTAAAAAGTTTAAAACCAATATAAAATTGTACATTCCGTCCATTATATTTGTTTTGTATAGTATTTATTTACAGTCAGTATAAAATATTAATGTTATGTTTTATTCTTTTTTTTCTTTTACAATAACCTGATTTACGTTTTCATGAGTTCATATTCTCTGACTAAATTGATTAGAAACTAATTGGACCTATGTCAGGATTGAACCCTGATCCTTCAAGTCATTGAGCGACAGAGTCACCTGGAAAACTCTAAGAGATAGATGCCCTTATACACTCGGCTCAGATTAGAAGCACCCATTTAAAAAAACAAAAATCACACAAATTTTATAGTCAAGTTTAATAGCACTGTGAAATCTTTCAACATTTTAATTAGACAAGAAATTAATTGATTAATTTAACATGAAAAATTCATTCAATGACTCACTTCAACTGTAAAGTGAAATATTCTAAATTTGATAACCAGGATTCATTTGTTACACATGAGTACTTAGACTGAACAAAGTTAGTAACTTTCTCTAAATTTCCACAGTAACTTCCTTTATCTGTGGATGAACTCTCCATAATCAAAGTTTTAAGACTAGAAATCTGAGTCAGAACATTTATCATTTTAGTCAAATTAACAGCAGTTTCCTGGTCTGCAGAATTCAAAATCATTTTAGCTGTTGCTTCAATAAATGTTTTCAAATATGGCTGACATACGGCATCCTCTAACAAAGTATACAAAGATGATAAAGAACTTTCTACAGTTTTTTCTGTTGAAAATAAATTACATGCAAATGTAATTGTCAAGTCTGTGAAATCTTGAGAAATGTTTGAGGTTGGAAATTTTATCAAAACTGAAAGTAAGCACAACACAGTGTACAAATTGTTCTTTTTACGTTTTTCTAAAGAACTCCATACAACATCACTGACCAAGTCAGCATATGGTAGAAAATCTGCTTGTAAAATTTTGCAAATGAAAGTGTCAAGTGATAATTGTTTTTTCCAAAAGTGCTGTTCAATAACAGACCAATCAGTTACAGGTTTGCTTACATCGGAAACAATACCACTATGTTTAGGGCCAAGCATCACCAGCATTAAAAATCCTAACTGATCAGCGATGAGATCCAAATTTATCTTCTCACCAATTATTTTATTAAAACGTTCTTGCAACACTTGAATCAGATATTTTCCCTCTTCGAATTCCAAGCCTTCATGGTGGATCAAATTCACAAATAATTTCAACTGATTTTTTGTTAAAGCTGGTAACCAGTATAAAATTTCAATCATGGACTTTTTCAGAGGTTTGGAACTGGTTAAAAACACTCCAGTGTCAATGTTGTACACAAGGTCAATGTAACTTTGCCATTTTTTCAAAACCGGGGTAATATTTGAAGTCACAGCATTCTTTATAACTGACATTATCTTTGTAGAAATGGCATCATTTGACTGACCAACTTCCAAAAGCAAATCGGGCAACGAATCCAAAAATGAAATCAAAGGCCTATCAAGATCTGATCTACCCTCAGATTTAAATATAACTTTAGCAAAATAGTGGATAAACATTTGTTTTTCTTGAGATAGATGATGAGCTCTTTGATATCTGTAGACACAATCTTCAAATATTAACAGCTGATCATTGGGTCTCATTGCATAGATAAGAGAAGTTAAGACCTGTAGTAAATGTCTACGAATATCTAATGCTAAATCTGGTGTTTTAATGTTATACCGAATATATTTTAGAATTGGTTGAATCCAAGATTGCTGTTGAAAATCTGATGGAGTTTTGATGAATTTGGTCATTACACTACAAACTGCTAGGTTTAAATTTTCTGGAGAAATATTGACTTCAGCAACTTTCTGTTTCTTATTCTTATTCTTTTTGCCATGAAGTAGCTCAAAAGGGAAACTGGAAGTAAAATAGTTGACAAATGTTACCTCGAATTGTTCGGACAACCAGTTAGACCACAAAACATCCAAAGAATCAGAGTTTTTGGTACCATATTCTATTAATAGCAGGATGATGTCCAGAACAGTGGTTCTAATTGAAGTGGCTTCTGAATATAAGAGGCTGCCATCATTTTTCTCAGAATCATGAGCTTCCACCCAACACTGAATTAACAATGGAAACAGATTCAAGACTAGTTGTTTAATGCTTTGAATATCTGTTAGATCAACTGCAGAAGTTTGAACCATTCCTGGAGTTCTCACAGCAAAACCAGGCTGCAACCAATTCTTCTTCATAAAGTTTTGAAATGGCATAAAATGGTTTTCATTTTCAGTTACTCTTAAAACATTTTCTTGACTTTCAATCCCATTGTCTTCATCTTTCAAAACAATTGTAAGTAACTTTAATAGACGATTGAGAACTTTTGACTGCCATTTTTGAGCTGAACCTTGTCTGTTTGGTGCAATTGATAAACTTAATTTTGAAGAGTCTTTGGTAGAGGGTCCAAACCTCATGCCACTGCTAGAGTTCTTGAATTTTTGTTTAGAAATCTGCTCAACAAAGTTTGACAACAATTGGTTGGAGCTGTGGACAATCAGATCTGGATAAGCTTTTAACAAGAGGTCAAACAGCAGCAAGGAGTCTTGTTGGATCTCGGCATTGATGTGGGTCATGGCACAGCAAAGGTGAGCACATAACACTGGGAAGAAAGGGGTCATTCTCAGAGGTGAAACTGTGTTGAATAAAGGCTCAAATAATTTCAGTACTGCCTCTCGCACAGTATAATCCTTGTCAGTCATGAGAGACCCTGCTCTGTCAATGACTGTCCCTAAATTATCTATCAGCGGCTCTTCACTTACTGACAGCAATTCCTTCATGCCTTGAGCAGCCCCCAATCTGACAGTCATGTTGTAATGCATGCATTGTGACAGCAAATCTTTGATATTCAGTTTCCGCTTGGTAGTGGCTTGGTCCTGGTCTTTTTTCAACTGTTGAATGATCTGAATTGTTTTGGTTTTGAAACTGGTTTTGGTAGCATTTGCCGCTTTAGGTAGCTTTTTTCCAACCTTGACTTTCTTCTTCTGAAACGTTTTATCCGCTCCCTGGCGATTTTTCTTTTGTTTTCCCATTTTTATCTTCGAATTTATATTCTGACATGCATAAGAAACACGTGTGATTTCCAACCGGAAGTTTACAACTGGACGATTATTTCTGACTTCTTCACAGAAGATCACTAAAGCTAAGGGAGACAACTCAATAAAAACATAAAATTTAGGTTGTCTGAAGCTGCCTTACATCAAAAACGGTTTCTTTTGTTCAAAATCGAAAGTTCATAAAATAGCTAAATAAATTTGTGAACATTTATCACAGCAGAGAGAAGATGAAAGTTTGAAATATCTTGTTATAATGTCTAAAGCATCCACTACGACGTTTATTGAATCCATATTGGATTTTTGCAAATGTACGGAAGCCGAATTTTGTACGGTAACCTTGCTACGTTGCAAAAATTAAATTGTGGCTACTTTGTATGACGATCCATTCCACACTGCAAACTGGAGGAAGCCATTGATTAATCGAAGCCGGGCGAAATGACTTTTTTTCATTTTGGAAACTGCGTTGCTCTAGCATATATTCCTTATGCTATTGTTTACAAGTGTTCGGGACTGTAAGTATTCTTCTTTACTAATTCCCTCATAATTGGGTCGAACTATGGAATAGGTAAGGGTTGAAACGAATTGAGATGATGATGGAGGTCAAAACTGATATCTTAAAAAAAAAAGGGGGGGGGGGAGTGACTTACAATATAGTTACACTCTAGCATAGCATCATTAAAATGAAATATAGCCAGTGATTAGTATTGTATAATGTTAACTATTTATATTTTTCAGGTCAGAATACAATGCATTTTGGAAATGTGTGAAAGCTGGTGGAGCGTATTTATTTACTCAGTTATGTAAAATGATGGTGTTGGCTACATTTTTTCCTGCTACAGATTCTGGTGGTGATGGTTTAGATGTTACTGGGGTAGGTATTAACAATGTACCATATATTTTAGTTGAAATAAGACTAAGTCTAAGGGTTAACATATCGTAGGCATATATTTGTTGTTTCTTTAGTTATGTTATATATACCTTTGCTGACAATGGTACTATTTTTTTAAGGGAATTCTTATCAAATATAATTACATGTCCCTATTTCTATTTCGACAGGAATTTTTAAAATGTACAGTAGATTTGGCTGATTTGGTCGGGTTACATCTCATCATGACTAGGATAGCTGGTAAAAGTCAGTTGAAGTTTATGGTGGCTGGAATGGGCTGGGCTACTTCAGAACTGATCATGACTAGGTAAGCTGTTTAAGAGTAATTATTTTTTTTTTACATTAGTCTGATACCATAACTCTTGCATGGAACTTCAGTGGACAAAAATTCTCAATACTTAGGAATTTTCATGGACACAGGAGACATTGATGGGGGATAAATAAACTCCCCATCTTTATCCAGCAAACATAGCAACTGCACTTGAAGGATACAATAATTTCAGACTTTTGTTGCAATCTTTTAGTTGTTATTAATGATCATTCTGTCGTTATCAGCTTCCCTTTGGAACCAGGGTATAAAGTTTATCAATGGGTTAATTTTGGTTATTTTTAACATTATTTTAGAGTTATTCCACTGTGGGTAGGAGCTAGAGGTGTAGAGTTTGATTGGAAATATATCCAGATGAGTTTCGACTCTAATGTTAGTTTGGTAAGTATACTGTAAAATACAGTGGTACCACTAAAACAACTGCAGATAGAGATAACCAGCCAACTTGCAACCAATTTCACCTCTTTTCCACACCAAAAATGTTCAAATTTATATTTTTAAGCTGTGTATTACAGCCTAATCCATGCCACCTTAACCACTGTATTCACACCCCTCATCTACATATTGAACTCATCTACACAATATGCATATCTTAGGCGTTTTTGTGGGCCGATTCGATTAGGTAGATTAGCTATTTTGTGTGTTTGTGAGCCAGGACGATTAGGCTAATCGGTACATTTGTGAGCCAGTTTACCCCAGGAGGTGGTTAGGCGATTCGATTAGGCTTTTCCAAGATGGCGGCATGTGAAAGTTGCTAATGTAATCAGAATAGTGGTCTTTCATTGGTTGTCAGCAGAGGCAGCCATATTGCCAAACCGCCGATTTGAATTTCGCATTTGTCGACCACTACTAAACCCAATTGCACCAAATCGTACTACCTAATCGAATCGGCTCACAAAAACGCCTCTTGTATTGATATAAACTGTGTGGGTATTTAGAATAAGCTCATTAGTTAAATTAGAGGTGTTTGTTGTTGCCCGCAAACTATATCCAGCATTCACACTATGCTTAGTGTATCACTTTTGTTTTATTCTTTAGATTCACCACATCAGTACAGCTATGCTAGTGTGGCTATATAGCCGTAATGACCTTAATAAATCCATGTTACCAGTTGTTACTAGTTTATTATTGCTGGGTTGTTATAGACCTTTAATAGTAGAGTAAGTATGATAGTTATTTATGGATATTGATGTTGTGGTGACTTTGATTTGAAATGGCACACAGGAGAACTCTAACTCATTTTCCATGTTTGCCAATATATTTTGAAGCATCTGCACTTCATTGAACAGCAGATCTTAGATGTATTTGCCAGAACCAAACAAATTGAGTCTCTCCCTTGTGCTTCTTGTTTATTTTAAATATCCAAATATCCATTGTCAGTTGGTTATCAAAATAGTGCTCAATACGTCAATTGTAGGCTATATCGAAGTATTAAAACTGAAGCTAATAACATTATTATTTGTGTATTTTCAGGATTTTGATTCATGCTGTAGGTCTGGGATCCTGGATGTTATTATTAGCTAAAACATTATTTACATTATGTGTGGGACTAGTCACGTTACAGATGTACCTTAGAATTCCAGCCCAGTTACAGAATTCTTACTATTAAAAGTACACACTCTGAAGTATCAGAAAGATGGCATTCTTATTATAAAAAGCCTTCAATCTCATGGACTGTATCAAACCTATTCATTTCTTGTGTCATACATCTTATTCATTATTACTCCCAAATCGTATTAATATGGCAACTATTGAACTCTAAAATTTGATGTAAAAAAAATCATATTCATCATTCCTTCACAATTTTAATCTTATTGACCTAAAGGATTTGACACAAATATCCATAGATAACTGATAGTAATAGGGAGAGGGGAGGATGTGTGTCCAGGCTTAATTCTCTGAGGTTATGTTTATAGTTTTAATTTTAAAAAACTGTTTATGGAGCCTTGTTGAAAGGAAAGCAAAAACACCAATATCATATAGACTCTTGAAGGTCTAAAACACATCAGTCTGGCATTGGCATTTAAAATTTAATAATAGCCAGTGTTATCTGAGAGATTGTGTAAAGATTTATTGTTTGTATTTTGAATGTGTTTATGTAATTTAATAAATTTTATATTTATCTTACACAATAGTTTTACTACTCACTTTATAGCAGGTTGAATCATTACCTTAGCAATTGTATTATCTCATATGTCTCCATTAAGTCTTATAATGTCACAATCAAATCAAAACTCTTGATAAATATTTAGTTGACCAAAGAATATAATTTATAGATTCAAGCAAAGATATTTCGCTTATCTGGTTTTAAATCAAAATATAATCCTGAGTAGTCCACTGAATTTTTAGCAGAATAAATGGAAATTCAAACTTAACTTTAGTTGACTACTTGTGTTTATGATTTGAATTACACCCAGATTTCTGCAAGTTTCTGTGCTAGACTATTATAAAGGCATTCATAATAAAACCAGGACTATTGAGCACAATATGAGATCATTAAACACATAATTATGGACAGTTTTCACATTTTTTGGTAGAATAAGTACCTTATATTTACAAAGTAAATGTATACTGCATGACACTTTCCAAAGTGGTGGTGTACATTCTAGACAGTAGTAATTTTAAGAAGAAGACAGCATATAATATACTTTCTCTAATGTACACACATTTTAAATTCAAAATATTTAAAGTATTTATTTCTCTTCACAATATAAATAGTCAAACTATTTCAATACACACAATTATTTACATGTCAGGGGTTGGTTACCAGAAACATCTTAACATACAACTCTCTTTATCAGACTAATTCAAATCATGGATTGGTTGGAAAGAAAAAGTTTCCAAAACAGGCTAAACACAAGGTTTTCTTGTCTTAATGTTAGTCCAATCCTACAGAAATCTAATTACCTACCAATATATAGTTTGAATAATTTTTTAAGTTCCTCATCTTTGCAACAAGAACCCTTGAAATTAAAACAGTAGGAAATGTGGGCATTTTGCTACCCATAGGGGCCCGCTTGATTGGTTAGTTTTGCACATTGATGGAATCAACAGAACGTTCAATAAAACAAGTTGAAACAGAGTTCAGAACGCATTCCATGTGTGCCAAAAAATTAGTAGGAACAGACAGAATTTATAAAGTTGTACAAGAAAATAGATGGGAAAATTTTGAATGTGACATCTGCTTTCATACTGTTCGACTGGGGGTAGAATTGGAATAGAAAGGGGGATAACTCACAGTGACTATGGTAATATCTGTTCAATGTACAAAGCTTAATCTATCATTTACAAATTATCCTGACAATATCAAAAGATATGGTGCCAAAATTGATATACATGTTACAGAAAAATAATTTACATTTACATGCATTTTAATTATTTGGCAATATAATTCAAGGCATGGTTGTCTGATAAGAAAGATATACATGCATATATCTCAAAATACTTACATTTCAGAAAAATGTTAACTTTCCAAAAAAATACAGTATAGTATATGAACGCTAGAACAAAACACAGCAAATTTTTCTTTAAGTAAAATATTCTCTACAATAGAGAGAACCCTTCCACATATTAACAATGTTACTACGAACCTCACCTTATACCTTGACTTTAGTAATCACCTCGTATCACAGAATGCAGCAATTTGATTGGATTGTTCACCAGTGAATACCGCCAAATGGAGACCTTGACAGAGAGACTGATATTGTTTACAGACTTACTACCGAAAGCTTTCATTCACAGTATCAGCTGATGTGCAATCCAATGAAATCGCTGCATTTACATACTTCTGTGATACAAGAATAGTGGCTATTGCAGTCAAGGTATAAGACGACGTTCCTCATAGCTTGACATTGTGAAAATGGGTCTCCAAAGAGATAAAATATGACATGAATGATTTACATTAAGTATTGAAAATACCGTTTGATTCAAAAAATAAACACAAGCAGTTCACTATATTTACAGGAAGAATAAATAGTAATTGAATCTAATCTGACCAATATTATGAATATTAATTCTTACACAACTTAAAAATAAAGATGACTGCTTGTTTTTATTAGACTTTTACAAATATTTTGGTATTTTAATAAGATTTTAGGGAAATTTGTATTTCAAAATGATATAATGCAAGGTAAAGCTGCATTAAAAAACTTTAAACAATCAAATACATTTTTTTTTAAACTATCATCACAAAGCATCACTAAATAAATAAAATCATATTTTTCATTTTTTTTTCTACATAATATTTACATATTTTTACAATGAAAGCACTCATATTTATTGGGTTGAATTTGATAAGGGGGGTAACACTTTAATAAGTAGATCCACTATGTGGGTGGAAAATTAATTGAGAGGGTACTAAATTTTCCCAAAAATAATCAAAAAATCGTCTCTTGAATAAAGGGGATGAAAACTTATTGCTATTGCTGCCAAGACATGTTGAAAAGAACAAGAGAATTTCTTGGACAACAAAATAATTCGAAACGCAATCAAAAGAAAAAATTTGCTTCAAAACTTTTAGAAAATAAATTCACACTTCATATCAAATTTATCAGCAAGGATGTTTACAGTTATAAAAATCTCACTGATCACAGTAATACTACTCAAGCTTACTATTATCTAACTAGTTACGATATTTCACTTGATCATCACTGTCAATCATTTTATAGAGATCTACTCCTCTCTATATTCTCTAAATCTATTAGCCTATCTTAGTTTTAGCTTTCAAGAGCTCATTTCATTACTTTGGTTTCATCTAAATTGAATAAACAATAGAAAAACATACTGAATCGGTTGAATTTCATCTAAACAAGATAGATATTTCCATTCCTGTGATTTGGGTAGCTGAATTGAGCACAAATTGTGTAAATTTACATGAATATTTTTAAATATGTACTTAACAATTTGGCACAATTGAATTCAGAAAAAAATTGAGTTGAAATTTCACTCATAATCTAATACAGAGGGCCATCAAATTTTCAGAATTTTTCAAAAATTCCAAGCGAGAAGGCAACTGACAACTTAAAAAAATAGGAATTCAGACAGGTATGTCCCTTTAAAATGGAGCATATTGTATGTAATCCAAGTAAAGTGGACTATACAATTGCCAAGGAGAAGACTGTAAAGCAACCAGTTATGATGGAGCACATTGTAGCCTGTCAGCCTCATCTCCAGATTCTTCTTCACCTGACTCTATATTTTCACTGGAACTCGACACATCACCTCCTTCTTGACGCAACTAAAATTAAATAATGGTTTAAGGTCAAAGGTCACAGGTTAAGTTGGTTGTTAGGGGTTACGACTGGAGAGAAAGGAATGGAACCAGCAAACACTTGAATTAAACTGACCAAGGCATCAAATTTAGAATTTTTAATCCGAATCAGTTTCTAAATTCAAAATGTCTTCCTCACTGGAACTGGAAATATCATCATCAGCCTCTCCATTGCCACGCTAAAAACAAAATGGAGTCCAGTCAGAAACCACAACACTACATATTGTAATGAAATGATATTGTGACTATGATTTAATGAAAATATTCTGTTGTAGAAAATGCTCAACTGCTTTTTTTTTAGGTACAAGCTCAAGTTTTTTTTAAGATAAGGAATTGAAGTTTTTGCCTGGGTAAGCTGGCAAAGAAAATACTAGAGCCATGCAGGCTAGAAAACTTATTGTCTGAATAAATACAAGACAGAATCTCAAAATTTTCCTTCTTTAAGATTCAATTTAGCAGACAAAACTCTAGAAAATAAGCCTGATACCCAGCCACAAAACTTAGGGCTATCTGTCTTGATTTTCTAAGAAGATAACCTGATGAGAATACCCAACCAGAAATCATGGCAATTATAAAGTTAGTAAAAATGTTATTCACCCACCTGCCTACGAGCTGTACGTCTAAAATGATGCATAACCAGCCATAACATCTGTCCATCAATCATTTCTGGTTCTGAAGATCTCTCTTCTTCTCGTTCCTTACGATTTCTTCTAACTGACTGAATTACAAAATAAAAATAATCACAAAGCGTTCTCTTGCCACTAGGGCGACGCTCAAGGTGAGTTCTGAACAGGTTCCATCTGCTCCAATTCTGTCCTCAATCGAAACAGTACGGAAGCGGATATGTCAAAATTTTCCCATGTATTTCCTGCCATTTTGATTTCTGTAAGCACGTACTATTTTTTTGGCACACATGAACAACTTATTTTATTGAACATTCTGTTGATTCCATTAATCCCAAACTTGTAGACTCACCAATTGGGCAATTCCTTGCATTTCTTAGTCTACACAACCTTAATTATTTACTCTCTTTCCTAGTCCTTACCTTAACTTGACAGCATGAGAAAACGTCATTTTATGTAGCATCTGCAGCTACTGTCTGTAATCCCTTAACCTTAGTCACATTAACCGTTACACAAAACCCTTATCCTTCTCAAACTTTACCCTTAGAAACTAACCTTTTTGAGACCAGAGAGTCCAGTAGCATCCTCAGCAGTAGGAGACCAAATTTTAACATCGTGATCCAAACCACTTGTAGCTAATATTGGAGCAAATGGATGAGGTTCTAGAACATTTATCTGCAATAACAAAATTTAAGACTTTATATTATGAATCTTGAAAATATAAATCTCGAAATTTCACTGATAATTACATTCCTTAAAACATAATGAACATTTCAATTCATAGAAGTTGACAGATTCTATATTCCTTTTAAAACAGCTTTACACCTGGCTCAAAGACGTCTTTGTTTAGAATCTGTTTCCTAATTTTGCCCTTGATCAAATAGAAGCATAATAGAAACAACAACAAGAATTTGGGAATAGATGTAAGTTTTTTTCAGCAAACAATGTAACCTGGCAAGATCATGAGAGTTAGTTAAACATATACTTCATCAATCTTTCTCAAGCACATTTTGTTTTAAAGGATGCTTCAATAAAAATCTGTGAATGTTTGTAACCAATAAAAGGATATAACCCAAAAAGCTAATGTGTTATTGATGCATTGTCATATAAATGTCTACCTACCACTCCACCCTCATCTCCTTTCATAAACTGTACAATATTTTCTGTTTCTTTATCCCATAAAAATACATGACCACAATCACTACCACTGACTATAAACTCACTTCTCGGACCGTAAAAATTTACACCTTTTACTACAAAATAACAACAATAATATCAATTTTAGGAATTCATCTAAGAACAAGGAGAACATTTTTCAACCATACTACAGTTTATTTTAATTCATAATCTAGGGTTACATCATAACTTAAGATAATTGAAAACGTCTAGTTCTTAGGACTTTGATTAATTTCTACAGAGATATTATCTAAGGATATTTCTAGGAGATCTTTACAGGAATTGTAATCTACAAATATAAGTTTCAAGAATATTTTACAAAAAAGAAGTAAAGAAAGAATCTGAGTACATTATTTGAGAATATGCGGTTAATTTAATAATCACGTGTAAGCTATCTTTCGTTCAGTAATACTTGAATTCAATTTTTCGTTCAGTCATACCCCAATTGTATCATGGCTACGGTACACATCAAACATTTTCGCTATGATGATATGGAAAGGTAATTTATGATTATAAATTAATGAATCCTAATTCTAAGGAATGATATTGTTATTATCATGCTTTGATAGTGAAATAAAATGAAATATTATAAACAATCGGGGTTCTTCACAACGTATTGGCCCTATAAAGTACACACATGTCTATCACATGGTGCGTACGTGACAGGAAGGGATATAACTCTAGTTATGGATGGCATGTTTCAACTATCTTGATTTTCGTTAAACCGCACGATTTTATCGGCAACGGGAATTTGTGGATAAATGAGGCTCCACTGTATAAAAATTGGAAAATAGGGAACATATTAATTACAACTATCAGCATGTCTAAGGAATTTTACAACAAATAGTCAAACAGAAAGAAACGTTAAGGACAAAAAGAGCTCAGTTCTCACCTGTAGCATTATTGCGGTGACCTTTATATTTATGTATATATTCAGCACCATCTGAGTGTTTGTTATTAAATAAATATATATCTTCATCATTATACGACCCTAGTACCTCTACAAAAAGATAAACAATATCCTAATGTTAACATTTAAGGAGCTGAAGGTTGGGGCTTGTGCTGATTCGGGAGGATTCAAGTGAGAAATCCATTTTGAGTCAGAATGTTAAGGATCCAAAATTTTGAACATTAAATTTTGCATTCAACGAAATATTGATTTCAATAATGTTAATTTGTCAGTCACGTTATATCCAATCCAGATATATGTCTCAAAATTTACATACCTGTACCATTGTAATTATAACAAGCACAAGTTATATTGGCTTTAGTTGTACTATCAACCTGTAAATAGATATTAGAAATATTAACACAAAACATGAAATATATTGTCACTCAGTTGATGCAAGATAATTGAACCATGACAACATCCCTAGTTCCTACTGAATAGAAAAAACAAACGGATACATTATCATTATTCACCGCATTCCTAAGGCAGATGGGATTGCACACAGAAGCTATTTTACAAAATGGCCTGCAGAAAAACTATCCAAACTCCCTGGAAAATTTGTGGCCCTTGCTGGCCCTTCATCTAATGTTTCCTGGAAATGCCACTGGCCACTACGGAGCCCCTAAGGCGCAATTGTAAACATATTTATTTATCATTTCGTTTAAACGAAATAAATGATGTTATTTCGTTTAAAGGAATTAATTATACTGATTGTACATAACTCTTAAATAACTGTGAAATAAATAAATTGATACTTACCAAATGATGTGGACAATATTTCTTTAACACTCCATCTTCCTACAAACAAAAGAGAAGAAACTGTATTCTTTATCTATTAAGAAAATTTAATATCCTTATCTAAAGTATAAGAAAATAAATTCAAACATCCTATGTCAATTTTAGAAAAAACAAGTTTGTCTCTGTAATACTCGACTCCAAATTGAATAAATTTTGTCAGGCATTATTTCAAATTTTGTAAATGTGAATCGATTTTCAAACTATACTTTCCCTGACTTTAAACTTAAAAAAAGATTGTTACTACTTACTTCAGTTATCTTTCTTTTATCATAAATTCTGTAAAATAACATATGAATGAATTAGAATGCAGGGTCAAAAGAGTACTTAACAATAGAATGTTAAAGTAACTTACCAATCATTGAAGGATTGATATTTAGAAACATTTCTTTAATTTTAATAGTAAGGGGGAGGGAGAAACTTTCCAAAAAAATAAGAGAAAATTCTATAATTTTTGAATGGAGATAATTATTCAACCTTTGTGTTAACAAATATCGTGTCCTTTTTAATTTGAAAGAAGAATAACTCCATTTCTTTTTTCTGTCCACCAGGTGATCCTTGGCTAAATCGTTTAGTATGATCCATCCCCAGACCTATTCATAGCTGGTTGATTGCAATAATGAGGAAAAATGGCTTATTCACTTTCAATATAAAAACAAGTAATCAAGCCTTAAAGTTTAATGCCCCAACAGACAGTGCTACAGTAGCCTGACCCTCATCTAAGAGTTTAAAATTGAATAAATTCTACCTGATATAGTGATCACGTCCTCCGACACAAAATTCATATGAATTAACAGGATTAGAGTGAATAGAATATAATCCAACTTTCCTCTCATTTTCTTTAGTTATACATAATCTAGAATTGTATAAACATAGCATTAGTAAATTTTTCATGAAAACATATAGTGGGGCAAATGAGCCAAATCCTGGCTAAAAACACAGGTTCAAACGTAGCTTACATTCCATGTTGGTGGGCAAAAATCCAACGCTTAATAACTTCAGCTTTTCAATCATAGAAACAGCCTAATTTGACAAATAAAGAAAATCAATTGGCAAATAAATCTTGCTTTTTGATACATCTAATAACTGAAGCTGGCTTTTAAAACAAACTAATCATGTTTACAAACTTACTTATTTGGTTTTTCTTGACGTAAATCTATCTCGAAAGTAACAGCATCTTCACCACAACTGAGAAAGATATGTGGAGAGTCTAACTCTAGAGCTAACTGTAATAGAAAATAGCAATATTAAACATTAATGTCACAAAGCTTCAACAAATTGTTTTTTTATTAAACCTGGTAAATGATCTAGTTATCAAATACTTTGGTGAAATCAAAAAATGAAAATACGAGAAAAGTAATGAACACCTGAACAAAATAATTCCACAAAGATTCTGATATATGATTCCCAAAACACTTTACCTTATGTGCAGCACCTTTATGTTGTGCTAATTTCTTAGTTTCTTTACATCGACCAGTCAGTGATAATTCAGCTAATCTAACTTGACCATCTCGAGCACAACTAACCACATGACAATCTCCACTGTAGGGCATAAATTTAGCTTGAAAGACATTACTCCGATGACCACTGTCATACACCAAGGCTGGTTTATTCTGCACCCAGTTCCATAGAACTATATTTAAATCATCGGAACTACTCGCCAGTAGGGTACCTTTAATACACAAATATAATAACCTGAGAGTTTATGGATTGTATGATTTTCATGTTTGAAAGGGATTTGAACCTACGGCACCTAATTGCTAATAAGAAATTTACTCAGTTTGCAACTTAGCAATCTTAATCCAATTTGATATTTAGCCATCTCAATTTGTAACAACAAGAAATATACATGGAATATCAAAATACATATCCTTTTGGATGGGTAGCCTGAAGTTTCTAACAATTTCAGTGAAAAAAATTGGTATTTCATAAACCAAGTTATAAAAATCCCAACTTTTGTATGGAATCGTCAAGTATCGATACACGACATCCTGATCTGATATGCGTACTGTGGCATGTTGTATCGCAATACATTGATTCACCGATATAATTATCGTGCCAGTACTAGTAGCCAGAGTGCAATAACTTTAAATGACACCAAGGTGGTAAAGCTCAGTTGGTTAGATTTCGTTTACTAGGCAATTAGGATAGGGCCAGAAAAGTTCTGATGTTTGTACCCCCTAATACTAAGGTAAAAGGGTTAAATTCCTACCTATTCTATTAAAATTCAAGGCATTCACACATCCATCATGACACTCCATTCTGAACTGTAATTCCAATCTCTGTACCATAGAAACACTTCCTTGTACACGTTCTCGAAACAACGAGGGTGGGGTCTTATTAGAATGACCTAGTTCACGTTGACGCAAATCGTGTATTGCATGCCAAATTTCTTTCGGTTTACGAAGTTGAATTTCTGTTTCTCCGTCTGATGACTCTGAGGATTCTTTTTTCCCACTTTGATCATCCACTTCATTGTCACTATCACTATCACTATCTGTGTCACTGTCACTTTTTAGCAGTTGATTCCGAATTCGGCGTATGTAGCGCTTTCGTGATTCAGCACTTCGCAACAATGTCTCTGCATCATCGTCATCCTCATCTCCATCATCACCGTCATCTGCCTCCACATTTAATGCAGGACTGTCAGAACCTTCCTCCATTAATTCTGATGGAGAATCCACAGTTATTTCGATTTCACTCTTAGCCTCAGACACTACAGATTTGCCCTCATTTTTAGCCTCGGATGTTCCGGCACACATAGCACTGTCATTGAATATTGCACTTTCATTCCCATCTTCATCAGAGTTATCTTTCCCTCCTGCTAAGGGAGATAACTTCTCAATGGAAATTCCACTATCGTCCTTTTGCAAAGAACTTGCATCCAAATGATCCGAAGCAGTTGAACTCAAATCTGCTTCATCTATGTAACCATTATCCATGGACAGACAACTGTCGTTCTTATTAGGATTATCCCCCTTTTCATCCAAAAGATTTGAAGATGAGGTGAGGTCATCATTCATTTCTTCTGCACCTTCAGCCATATTTGTTTATCGAAATCTGATATCGGTTAATCAAATAAATGAACAGATTTATTTCTTAACAACCTTCATTTCCTGAAATAAAACCGTTCGAACGGTTAATGAAATAAGCAAAAATGAAATTCTATCTTGAACATATTTTTAACCATTATTTTCATGTAAATTGGAATTTCAATTTCAAAGAGTTTTGATTGTCCTTGAATCTCTTTGCATTGATGAAAATATAAACATGAGCACAAATTATCACTTTGATTTTTGGTTTTACAGAAGTATTACAAGAATAATATTGAGTTGAAGCACACTGATTTAAACTAATGATCAGAACTTGTCTTGAAGTACTTGTCAAATCTAGTACAGACACAAAATGAAATAGATCAGTTGTTTGAAGAGTATCACAACATGAAACTCTTTAGTAACAATGTGTTTCAGGTTATGTTTAAATATTTCTATTATGTTGAGTTTTACCAGCTACTTATGCAAATATTTAAACAAATATGTTTCCTTATGACTTATACAGCTATTATTATTTCTGATAGTGATAATTGGTTTTCCCGACGCTCAAATTTCAGACTAATTTGGGTACCAATACTGCAACATATAAATATGTATCGAATAGGCCTCCACAACCTATCTCTAGAACTGAGACCAGTGCTTTCGAGACTGTGGTTCTTATAGGCTTTCAATCCCAATCGACCCCGACCACAGTGTTAAGCTTTATGATTTGCAAAATATCAACTCCAGAAGCATACTGTTCTGTGTTCAGAATCTGGCATTTTTTTCAAAGACAGAAATTCTTTTAACTCTTGAGTTCACTAAGGTTGTTAGTAAATGGAGTCCATAGTTTTAAACCAATAAAATAGCACTGTAAGTTAGAGATATATTGCTGTAAACTCAAATAAATGAAATGAAGATACATAGGCAGCAGGTGCTTGATTTGTTTTGATTGCATGATGATGTCATTGTGAAATCAAAACAAACATTACGTCATAAAAAATACAGGACAAAAAGTAACACAAAAACATTGTAACTTTCACAAAAAGGGCATAGGGGCAGAATTATGTCATTGATTGGGGTGTAAAGCAATAGGATGTACAAATAAGTATGAGATCAATCATCAGATTACCATGCCAACGTACGCAAAGAAATTTTAAGGACGTCTACGAAACACTTCCAAGTACAGTTTGTTTTTATTTCCACTTGCCCGTATCACCTATTTGTGCAATTGTAGACGTTTGATTGGGTAAAAATCTTAAAGCAAATATTTTAACTGTGAAAAAAATAATTTGTGTGATTCTTTTTATCATTCTTTTTATCTTATCGTTCAATGAATTAAACTTTATTTTGGATAATATTTTTGTATACTTGGATTTGTGAGATTATATTAAATGAACGAGAAATTTGTGTTAATCAAAAGTTATTACTCCGACTTTAAATGAAATATTGTCAGAGAAATATTTTATCTGACGAATATTTAGATTATTCAATTTGCATTAAGAAAATGCGTTCAAAGATTTGCATTTGTGTTTGACATTCAGCAATATTATTTTCACGAAATCAAGGTGTGAATAGTCGATCATGCCAGATTTAGTGCGGATTTACAAAATGGCTGCTTGCAGACGAAATGAAATCTTGTTTTGGATAAAATTGAGAAAATAATTTGTAACAGCTGTCAAGATGTCGGCAGGAATGATGGAGGATCAGTCCTCAAGAATTCTGATCAATTTGATCAAAGAGCTACAAGGATTATGTCTGACAAATATGGAATATTTTCAATCAGGGACACAAAGTCAGCATGCCAAATTTCACGTCGAATTTTGTAATCTCTATGAATACCTCGACCTAGGAATCGAACCGTGTGTTATGGCTTTACTTCCTCGATTGAATGAATATGACTTTTCACCACAAACAAAGGGCCATGGCTATCGTAGTTTATTGAGGATTGTCCAGAAATGCTGCCTGTCGTTAATCCAGCTTTCGAGACACATCACTGTCAACAGAGATTCAATTTTATTTCGTAGAGCGTATTATTTAAAAGAATTGGAAGCATATGTTCAAACTGTCGGACAGCTGAGAGCATGTCTGTATTATGCTCAACAAGTCATGAATTATTGTCAAGAGGGGAGTTTGTTTGCTGATGAAGAGACCCTGGACCATCAAGTTGCTGATAAGCTTATGATGGAATTTGAGATGTTGAATCAAGATTGTTTTTATGGCAGATGTTTAGGTTTTCAGGTAAACACCATTGACTTGAATGTCACACTCATTGATTATTGCCCAAGATGTTTAAAAATGGGCCTGTAAAATGGCTGGGACTATGATCCATCTTATGATTTTCTTTAATACTATAGTGTTATCAATAAATTAATAATTCTCTCTTTCAGTTTTGTGAATCAATGCAGCGTCCACTTCAAATGGTAGCTATAGCAATGGCATCCTTTAGTGAAGGTTATCAAGAAACTTCTCAGTTTATGCAGCTGGCCAGTACAGTTTTTAACAGTGGGAAATACATAATGAATCCTGATCTCAGAGGGAAACAGGTAATTAGTTGACAAATTTAATGTTTTTATTGATTATGTTAACAACATTAACAAGATTTTTTTTTCTATGAATATTACACCATGAATGTCTAACATCTTCTGAAATATTCAAAATGCAGTGGTTATATTATAAAATTGTCTTAAAATTATGTTTTAAGATTTGAAAGTAAATGTATGCTAAAAAGTGTGTGACTTAGTAATGATTGTAATGAAAATAAGATAATCATCAGATTAAGGTTTTTTTCATATATTCAATGATTGTTATATATGTATCGATTCTTGAAACTTTTGTTCAGGTTGTGAATGTAACAAGATCAGCTGATGTCAAATTTTGTAAAGCGTTTTGGGGAATACCAGAAAGTGATTTACTACAGGTTAGTGCTTATTATTATTTTTCAGTGTATTATTTACTGATTTATGAAATTAACTTCTGCTTTGCATCTCTAGCTGGAACTTTAATTACATTAGGCTAGGTGACATTGATGCATTATTTAGTGTGTAATGTTTAGAAAATTTCACCCTCAGTAATTTTTCCCATTTAATAAACTCCTAAAAGCTGCCTCAAATGTTTTTACAGCAATTACCATCATGGGTGTGTCCTTATGTTGAAGTTGATGAAGTTTTACAACTCGGTCCAGATTCATTTGAGATGATGTTAGAAGATGGGACAGATACTGTAATGATAACACCACCTTGTGCCCATACTGGTCCTAGTTCAGTTAAAGTTCGATTGATCTCTTATAATCTTAGAGATGGGCAGGTACATGGAATTTCACATCTTTGTGCTTTCAGGAATCTGTATACTCTACATTAAGTCCATTTTAAGAAAAAGGTCTTCAAAAATCATGTATGAATTTAAAATAAAAAACACAAAGGAAGAATAATGGTATTACTCACCTCTTTAATAACAAAACACTTAACATTTCAACACAATTTACACTTGTTGTCATCAAATCAAAATTGTGTCAAACATTTTCTGGGAACTGTTGAGGAAGATATTCCCTGGGAACTGCTGTGGAAATGTGTTAAGATGCCATTCCATAGAGAATATTTCCTGTATAAAGTGAGCTGGTATATCATTTATGAATTATCTTTATAATTTTAGCAAGTTCATATGAAGCCAAACACTAAAAATAAATCAGGGAAGCCTCAGATAGCCAAACCTAAAAGTCCTGGTTTACTGATACACTGTCATGGTGGAGGTTTTGTTGCTCAATCTTCTAAATCACATGAGGTAAGTGGTTGTTAAATTACCCAACCATTCTGCGTGTCAGGGTTGAAAAACTTCTCTCATGAATTATTTCTAATGTTCTGTATTATTATTATGTTTTAATGATCCTGTTTTCTAATTACAGGTGTATCTACGTCACTGGGCTAGAGATATTGGTGTGCCTATTTTATCAATAGATTATTCTCTAGCACCAGAATTCCCCTTTCCTAGAGCTTTAGAAGAATGTTTTTATGCCTATTCCTGGGCGTTACAGAACTATGATAAACTTGGTAATAATTTATATTGCTTGTAGTAAAAGAGGCAAGATATGCCCTTGAAATATTGTCATCATTCAGCTGAATGAAAATTTGAATTTCGTTACATTTTAACTTATTTTAGTATATGTATTATATCTGGTTAACAGTTCTGGTATAACAAGATTTTAACTTTAACTTATATATTCAGACATTTGTGTTTTTTTGATCGGAGGAAAGTCTGAATATATAACACATGCTGGAACCTGAATAACTTAATTCTTGAAATTTCAGTCATTCGACCGCAAATTATTTTGAATGATTGTATTAATTTGAATTTTTTAGGGTCAACAGGAAAGACTATATTGTTGGCTGGGGACAGTGCTGGAGGTAATCTGATGATATCAACAGCTATGAGAGCAGCATCATTTGGTATCAGACCTCCTGATGGTTTATTAACAGTGTATCCAGTAGTTCTAGCTAGATACACTCCATCTCCAGCTCGACTCATGGCTTTAATGGACCCCTTATTACCTGTTGGTATACTATCTAGATGTCTAGCAGGTAATTTCTCATTTCTTTAGCATTAAGTATCTTAATTTTGCTTCTATAAATGGCAATGCCTACCTTAAGATAAGCTGGAATTGATTAAGAGAAAAATTTCAATCGGGCACACCTAAAAAAATGGCAAAATATATCATACAAAATAATCTCATTTTGTAAACCAAATTCTTGAGAACCCTGTTACATTTTTAAAAACCTCCCAGATTTATAATAGACCTCCCAGATGGGAAAATATGATTGAAATAAGACTAAATCGGTAAGAATCTTATTGTTTTTTCAGCTTACGCAGGAGTATCAGATGAGATGATAAATGGAATCGTAGATCCAGTGTTCAACAGTGACGCCCCCTACAAACTAGACGAAGATGAGGACTCGTCCGATACAGAATGGGTCGTGGTCTCTGATAAAAGTGGTAAAAAACAGCTGATCAAAGTCGAGAATGAAATATCACCTGATTTTTTCAGTTCACCCATGACAGGAAGTTCTTCAGACGACTTTGTTTCAGCACCAGAAACTCCGCTACACTCAGAAGATATTGTCATTGCAACAGACTCCATTTCACCCAACACTAATGATAACTGTGGAACAAATGTTGACCCTCAAAATGTAGAATCAGATTCAGCCACACGCTGTGATATTCAAATAAATTCTTTAGCTCAAAATTCAGCCATTCCTGATTCTGAATTACTTCCCTTTGATCACGTCAGTGATGATCCAAATATAGACATTTGTTTAGCAGACGACAAGATGTCAAAAGATGAAAATAAAGATGGAAATAACTGTGATAAAGCGACGTCAGAAACTTCTGGCCCTGAATGTTTAGAAAATGTTGATTTAGAAGATGATCATCGGTCATCATCAGGAGAAGAATTAGTTGTAATAGAGTTACCTGCCCTTAACTCTGAGGAGGAGCCGCCAATGTCTACCTCTGATTTGATTGGTTCATCTGATCAAATACCAAGTAGTCTTAGTTGCCCTGACTTAATAGATGTTCCACATAGTTACCTAAATAGCGCTGTATCAAAGTCCGAGACATCAAATATAACCAAAGTAAAGTCAAATTTAACATTACCGTTGCCCAGAACCAGATCAGTGCCATCATTTCAGGAAAATCGACCCCGTCCAGGTTCGATGTCACCTTCAGACTTCGCTCGGCACAGATCAATAAGTAACAGTCCATTAAAAGCTGTTAGAAGTATACCAATTGTAAAGAACCCCTACATGTCTCCATTACTGGCACCTGATGAACTGTTGAAAGGTTTACCGGACATATGTATAGTGGTAAGTAGGAATAATTTTTGTGCATTTATTTTATAAATTCTCTTACAGAAGCACTGACCTAGGTAACAAGTATTTGGTAAAAGGCTAAACTCATTTGGAGAATTTAAAAGACTGTTGGTTCAAAATATTTCATATGCATATAATGTATAGACTGGAGATTTTAAGAGCCTACAATTACACACTGTGTAATATCAGAGTGATATCAGGTGTTAGAGAAGGATAGGCCACCCTTTGAATTGATTTGGAAATGCACCTTAAAGATGGGTTCCCTTGTTTTCATTTATGAAAATGCTTATATGAATAGTATTCTAATGATTTGGAAAAATACCAGTATGTCTCACATTACAAGAGAATTACCAGCAGAATTCCAATGAGTGACCGATCAAGAAAGATCAAAAAATCTTTTTTTGTTTATCAAGACTGTACATACATGGACATTTATGATTGGTTAAGACTCTTTATCAATTGCAATAAGATTATAATGATATTATTAAGAACACATGATACTTCATTAGAAATACCAATTAATCAAAAAGTCGGCTTAATTTGAAAATAAGGAAACCCATCTTTAACAAAATATTTGCAGAATCATTATACCAAATACCATATTGATTTTCAGGGTTGTCATCTGGACCCACTACTAGACGATTCTGTGATGTTTGCCAAGAAACTAAAGAAATTAGGGAAGAAAGTTGAACTTGAGCTAATCGACGACCTACCACATGGTTTTCTGAATTTTTCAATGGCAAGTAAAGATGCCAAGAAAGCTTCAGATAATATCATAGTTAAACTTAGAGATATGTTTAAAATGGATTATATCACACCAAAGACAAACACCCCTGTTTAATGGGAATTGAGAAGGAGTTTTGTGTCCTACCCTATTTTATGAGAGTTAATTTATTAGTTCAAGTTTATAGTTTTCTATCTAATCATGAGTTGTAATTGATAGAAATTTTTCTATGATCAATCTATTTCATAATCCTTTATAACAAGAACTGAATCATCTGATAAAGTCATCTACTGTATCTATTCTATTAGTTTGTCATATTTTTTTTATGTTTTGTACCAAGAAAATATGTTTCTTTATTTTTCGATTTGATGAAATAATCATGCTATTGATATTATGGTGTCATCAGTAATGGATTAATAATCGCCTCCTATTAATATGCTTATATATCAAATATTTTAGTAGTCACATTTTATTTGCATTTGTTATTTTTATTGTTAATTTCATTCATCATTCAATCAAAGTTTAAATCAGGGTTCAGCTTGCTGTTATTTTTAATATCACCAGATCACAAAAATACATATTTTTCAATATTATAATTTATTTCCTGCCCATATGGTCTTTGTTTACACAATAATTCAAAAATATATTTTTCTAAGGTCTCTTGTATTTCATATCAGAGCTATCAGTTTTATTTTATATTTTGCAATAACAAAAGTTATTTATGTTTAATCATCACAATATGTTTTATCAGTGGAATGTTTCTTTCTTTGCAATAACTAGGTTCTTCACTCTGAATTGATAGTGAATGGTATGTAGTTTGTTATTTGTACCATGTGGTTTGTTTTATGTCACAAATTTATAGTAAAATTTTATGCTAAGACTAATTCTAGATTTTTGAATAGGCCTAAGATATTCATTAAAAATAAGATTTTTCTGGTCTCCAGCCTCAAATCTTGAAGTTTTCCTGTTTGATTGAAGAATCTTTGTAAAAATCAAAATTGTAACATAAATGGCGTATCAGAGAAAGGGAAGATTTTTATAAACTGTAAAAGTGATTTGATAATGGCCAGCGGAAACCTGAATATTAAAGAATGGTTGCCAAAACCTAGTTTCTTGATAAAGCTCAATAGTTATTGATATTTATGCTTCTTATGAAAATGTTTGCTTTACTTGTTTTATATAAAGATTTTATTTGAAATATGTATATTACAGAGGTATTTTAGGTCACGAGAATACAATATTTATTTTGTTTTTATTTATGTAAGAAAAAAGTATATATAATTCGCCATAATATTATCATTATTTATAGTCATTATTTAATATACAGTAATTATGCATGTCCCAATAAGATATAGAATATAGGCATGAGCTGTCCACTTTATATTTAATTAGTTGGTTGAAGTATTAATGTACACAATATAAGTTATGGTTACTATTTATGTTAATGTTTGTACATATTGTTGAAAGACTATAGATAAATTATCATACATTTGGTTGATAATAGAACAAAGACTTAGCTGGACTAAGTTAAGATTTTTATAACACAATATAAGACTTTTACTTTTACTTTTACCAAAGTTGCTAATAATATATAAGGGCCTTTGCGATAGCTTCATCAGAAAATACTTGGTTGTAGAGAAATTGCTTGACCAATTTAAGTCTGACTATCTACCTGCTATCAGTGTCCCTGATTATGATAAAAGGTTTAGAAAATCTCTTCTCAACATGACATTGAGTACAGGACAATTCAGGTTGATTTACCTCTATTCTTGTGAAATAAGAATAATACTTGTCTGATTCTCAATAATCAAGTCATAATAATTATTTTGTTATTCTAATGTTATGTTTTTAATATTTTGCCATAACAAATCTATTTGTTAGTTTGATTTTTCTAAAAGAATCAGGTTGTGAAAAGTTCAGCATTTTAAAAATTAGTATGAGAATGATGTGGCATACAATAACCTGTAATAATATGCTATTTTATGAAGAAGTTCTGGATATAAAAGTCCCCTGGCCAACATTTGACAGCAAAACAGTTATCAATAGCCAGATAATTGTTACCGGTTGATTAGAGCGTTGGTTCTTTACAGAACGTCATTTGCATGGTTACGCCAAGAAAGTGGTGGAAGTGGCTTCTGATCGGCATGTGAAAGTCCCATGATCTAGAATATTACACACATATGTCCAGTTGACCCAGTTGTAAATGGGTATGGATAATTTGGGAAAGATCAATGTCAAGATGTTTGGCCAAGGACCAGCTGGAAATAAGGATCATTAACTGTGAACCTAAGTCGCTATTCTTGTAAAATATAGTTGTTTCTTTCTTTCAAGGTCTACACTACAGTAATGTGCTTTCACTATGAGTACATTTTAAAAATTATTTAGAAAAATCAAACTATATAACTGGGTGAGAGTTGAAATATATTTTAATAATGGTGGAAAGTTTTATATTTGTTATTTTTGTAAAATTCTTGTGTAAAGATCGGAATTATGATTTGTTTTTACTGTGATTGTAAATATTGTATTTTCTAATTCTTGAAAAGTTAAGTTACAACAATTGTGGTTAACTTTCATATGCTAATTATCTAATACTACAAGCTACTGTTAACGGAAATGTCTAAAATGAATGAATAGAGTCCTAAATTATATCAGATGCAATTTAATTTATCAAGAGATTAGATTTGGTATATAAATTATGTTTATCAGGTACTCATACTATGATATAAAAGAGATAACTTTTTGATATCAATTCAAAAAGATATTTTCATATATATATATATATATATAAAGAATTGTTTTGGCCATACTGAGTTGATAAACAGTAAGGGGCTGAGCAGGGGCCACAGAATTATCAGAGGGGGGTTCACAGAAAATTCTTTCCCCATGTAAAAAAAAAGAAAGTGGAGGGGGCACCTGTAGAAATGCCACTTGTAATCAGATATACCCAATCATAGAATGTTTTCTTGTTGCCATGAAGTGTACCCAGCCACAGTTTTAAAATAATGTTCAAGCTGCTATCAGGTTTTTCCTATTAAATAATGAGATGATTATCTTGATTGTTGTTAAACATGTTAATGTTTGAGCAATAAAAATGTTTTCTTAGAATCTGTTGCTGTTCTTATTGCAATTATAATGTAAATACACTGTAAATATATACTGTAAATTAGTGTGTGCCAAGTATTACATCTTCAAAGATAAATTCAGATATATATGCACATTATGGGACAATTGAATATTGATGTACTTGGGTCTCACACATTATTAATTAAAAACTTGCAAGAAAACCTTTACCCGATTTACCCAGTAATTTTAAAAGCAGCATGAATGAAAACTGCAAAACTTTCAAAAAATATTCAAAAGTGGTCTTCTGTGTTGGAAAAGTATGAATAAGAAGTGAAAGAGTATTTGAATATAAAGAATTTTATTCTGTATAAAATCAACAAAAAAATCAACAATTTCATTCTTGTTTTTATTTACACAATCTTATTCACCAATATACTATACTGAAACCATAGATTTTAGAGACAGAATTTTAATGTTGAGGCAGAATTTACTGATTTTCTAAAGCCATGGATGTTGGAGCCAGAATTTACTGATTATCTAAAGCCATGGATGTTGGAGCCGGAATTTACTGATTTTCTAAAGCCATAGATGTTGGGAGCCATAATTTACTGATTTTCTCAAGCCAGAATTTACTGAGTATAAAAAGAATTTGGAGAATTAAAGCCGTTGTTCAAATACCAGGGTCCTAGAAATGCAATGTCTTGATCAAAGGTAACTACCTAAAGTTTAGAGACCGTATTAACTTATAAGGTCATCCCATCTATGATTTTAAATGAAAACTTAAAACAGAACACTTTTAATTGTGTGAACACATGATTTTACCCTACCCTGCTATCACCAGAGAACATTAAATCAAATGAACAATAATGAATAAAGACACCTAATTGATTCTTTAAAACATTTTGTTAAGTGATGATAAAGTGTATCCTTTTGCGAGATTTTGTCCATTCTCTGAACACAGTTGATTTAAATGTCATATAGCAGATGATCCGCAAAATAATATTAAAGTATTCAAAATACACCTTATTTTGATAAAAATAAACAAATTCCATTAAAATAACAATCACAGCCAGGCTTCTTGCAGCTGTAACCAGACATAACTGGCAAATACAGTCAAATCAACAACCCTCACATACCCTAAGCCACTATCACATTTAGAAGTTTCACCGAGTTGAAATTACATCTTAATTTAAAACAGGAATACATCAACTGTTTTCAGATTCTGTAGTAACTGTATCAGTTGTCTCTGATTTTGGCACCGTAACCATGGAACCAGACGAGTCTAGAACTATTCCTGATGCAGTGGTACCTATCACCTGACCATTATATGATACTATGGAAACAGGAACACCTGCCATTGACATTGGTACTGACACTGAAAGATTAAGTACACAATTTTAATTTTAGACATTTGAAACAATGACATAACCAACATCTTTCTGAAACTGTCTAAAAGAAAGGAAGAAAAAAAAACCATAATTTTATACAAGGATAAGAACTTATGATAAACCTCTTGGCATTGATCTTTCCTGGAGTACACATTTGAAAATAATGTAGTTATATTATATTGATTGAAAATTAGTAATTTTCTTACCAGAACCAACTTCAGGATGGGATTGTATTTGAGGATGCGTTTGAATTTGAGTCGTTTCTGATTCTGTTTGAAGTTCAGGTTGAGTGTGTATTGAAGTTGAAATTTCATCATCTGGTTTGTTTTCTATTGTTATGTCACTGCCAGGAAGCTGGGGTTGAATATTAGCAATACTTTCAGGCCAGAATCGTTGTTTTGGTTGTTGGGTTGGCGTTTGTTTTTTCTTGGCTTTTTGTTCAGGATTACCAGCATCCATCATTGGTTGAAGAATTCTTCTTCTTGCATTGATAAACCTGGTGGAAAAAAATTTTCTATCTTCATTGTGTCATATATTATTTAAGAAATGGGAATAGTAATAATATAATTCAGATAAATACACAGTAAATATTTCTTTTATTTCAGTCATATAATTTTTATCAATTTCTATAGTCATGCTCCTAATTCTTTATCCAACGTATATGCAATATGCCCAACATGATGAACTCTTGTAATAGATAAAGATATTTCTGCCACAATTTGGTGAAGCCAAGAGTAGGCATTTGACATCCGTGACTTTATTAAGCCGTTTTCATAAGAGAATGGAAATCTTACCAGTTGTTCACTTGTAGTAGTGTTAAATTTGTTTGTGATGCGATAGTTTTCTTCTCATCTTCTGTAGGGTAGGGATGCTGCAAATATATTATACCAATAAAATTGGACACAAGGCAATATAATATTAACCCTTTCAACCCTAGCGGCTGGTTTCCCGGGCAAACACTTACGCAATATATACCCGAGCAGCCGGTATACCGTCCGTTGCTAAGTAACGTCATAGAACGTTAACGTCATACGCTTTTACTTTTATTACTTAGGGTTCAGGGTATATGACGTTATATTTCATTTACACTCAGGGTTTAAAGGGTTAAGCTATGGGCAATTTTTGATAGAAACAGCCACATCATTTTCTTAAGTGCTTTTGATAACATTCAAAACATTTTCAAAAACAACATATGACTATTTGTATTTTTGCTTGTGCTCTGCATTTGGCACAGAACACTTACACCTTCCATGCAAACCAAACCTGGCTTGTCTTTCATCTTGAATGATCCAAGATAAGTATTGGACTATTATCATATCTATTTAATTTTTATTTAATTTGGTTGTCTTGTGGATTTGACTTATAAATTTAATTCTGAATAGAGATATGTGAGTTATCCTCCTACAGATTGAAAAGTTTGTCTGAATACTCACCACAATATGTTGAAATAACCAAGATTTCATAACTTGTGTAGCTTGTTTGGGTAAAACACCACGTTTATTTTTATTTTTACCTCCTCGGTCGTCATCATCGAAAAATGATAAATTATGTGCTGAGGGAGTCTGAGGAGTTGTTGGTGCTGTAAGGAAAATAAAATATTTAAGGACTAAAGACTTCAAAGTCTAATTTCTGTAGTGGTTGCAAAGCCAGGCTGACATACAAAAAACACTGACCATAGCATCCAAAATTTCCTACTTCCAAATCAATACACCTAATTGCTTGCAGATGACTATTCAAAAATGTCAAATATTGACTCTAAAGCAAATCTTTCCTCAAATATTTAACTTAAGAAATAATTCAGATTTCAGAAGCTCCATTAGCTGGTCAATAAAACTTATCTTTTTAGTGGATGGATAGTAAGAAAAGTGTAGAAACTATTTGAACTTCAATGTCATGTACATCTTTGTATTCTTATTCTCTACCAGGCTTAAAGATGGATTTTCTTATTTTTTAGTGTCAAATTAAGCAAACTATTTGATTAACTGGTGTTTCTAATAAATTATCATGTATTCTTAATCATATCATTATATTCTTATTGCATATAATTAAGAGTTTTAACCAATCATAAATGTCAATGTACATACAGCCTGGTTAACCAAAAAAACACTATTTGACCTTTCTTGATCGGTCACTCACTGGAATTCTGCTGGTAATTCTCTTCTAATTTAGCTAATTGTGAATTAATTATGGCCATGTGAGACAAACTAGTATTTTCCACGTCATTAGAACACCTCTACTTTCTATTCATATAAGTATTAGCATTTTCATTTTCATAAATGAAAATAAGGGAACCCATCTTTAAACTGGCCTTGTAAGTTACCTGATTGAGAGTGTGAAGTCTGTAATTGTTGTGCTATAACGGGTGAATTCATCATACCAATCTGTGACAGACCTGTTGGTGTATTCTGTATTACAGGACTTGATAACTGGGGTGTCATTGGGGTTGTCTGTATCTAAATCAATAATCAAATAAAACTACTAAATATAGTTATATCACATGTAAAACGACGGCTTTAAGATGTGTATTTGTGACATTTTGCAGACTCTACCCAAGATATCCCAGGAATTGGTAACTTGTTGTCATTTGGGTTGTCAGTGAGGCAGCTAAGACAATCACTAAATGCACAATTCTTATGAAAATATGATCTTTGCCACCTCACTTTGTATCTTAAATTATCAAAGACATGAAAATAATCACCATAAGTAAGTCACATATAAAAGTATACAGAGACATTTATTTATTTTCTTACCTAGAGATAAATCAAATTTAATTAAAATCGGTTTAAAAATGTGATAAAAAAAGGATACTTATATAAAATTATGCTTTCGTTAAATAAATATTTTTATTCAATAAATTGAAAATTAAACCCCTTAAAGTTTGAAATTTTATTAAAGATTACCTGAATGGGTTGAGCTACAATTCCTTGTGGTGTCTGAACCATTTGATACACAGTATTTCCCGATACTATCTGACCTTGACTGATGGTTGCCATGGAGAGCGCCGAGGGTTGGACTGCAGGTTGCATGACGATGTTACCATTAACAACCTGTGCTACCATTTGTTGATTCGATAAAGGATTTTGGACTTGGTTCATTCCGACAGGCGAGACTGGGTCATCTTCGTCAGAATCATACAAGTCCACTTTTAATAATGACTCACTCTGAAGTTTTCCCTTTAGACAACCAATGTATCTGTTACAGAAATCCTGACACAAGTCTGTCACCTTCTCCATTTCTAACAAATGAATTCTTAACACTTGAATTGATTTCACCATCTGAAAAATAGAAGAGGAACTTGTCAAAACTCACTCTTTAAACACTGGAGTGAATAATACTATTTGAATTTCATGCTGGCTCTTTGAAGCAAAAATTAAACTAAGTATCATACTTTAACTGATCTGTGATATTAAAACATCAAGACTGTATCAAAAGTTATCTCCCTTAGGAAAGAAGTGGAAATGACCTGAATAGTGAATGGAGGAAGCTAATCTTGCTTTTGCTCTGTATTTAATTCTAAGACAAAGGGCCAACCAGCAGTTTAATAGTTTAATATAGTTCTTCCCCAAAAATCCTTTTGACAATCTTATCAATAAGGTACTCATTTTTATCTTATGTGTTGACAAAGCCATGGTAACTCTAAACTTACCAAATTATCAAGTTCCAGATCACCACTAAATATATTTTTATTTTCCTGTTTCTGCAGTTCTAGGAAGGCCTGGATATCAGAGTCAAATAATTTACTGTCAGGAAAATTAGACGAGTGAGTAGCTTGTTCACATTTCTCAAATAACAACGCCATCAGTGGAAACAGTGGATGTCTGAAAAGGAAGAGAAGGGAATGAAATAGTGTTTTACATCCTACATTATCTCTGCCGATAGGGCAAATAAGAATTGGCAACAGCCTTTGCCGATATTCAACTTTTTAAGGATCATAGGACCTTGGTTTATTTTCTTACAATCGAACCCCTGGAGACTGCTGCATCAGCATGCAATAGTTTATTGAGCCAGATAGCAGGACTACCGATAATATATATCATGTAAATTCCAAAGCAGCATTCATATATAAGGGAATAAGTTAATCAGAAGGATATCGCTGGCAGACTTACTTGTAAATATTTTGTTTATAATTTTCTATCATGGCCTGTTCTTCTTCAGTCTGTTCTACAACTGTTACATGGACATCATCATTCCTGCAAACAAATTATTTAATAATATTAATTTTAAACATGAGTCTGGTCTTTGTTTTTCAAAATATCGTTCATTAAAAGTAGCCTATGAAAATGAAATGAAATGAATGGAGTTTTACATCCTACACTTCTGCACCTTGTGGGCTAATGAAGACGGGCAACGCCATGCAGGGTGCCATGAGGGAAATTTTGCCAAGACAGCGGCATTAGCCTGCTCTTTTTCTATTTCCAACTGTCAAGGGATCTTTAACGTGCACAGCCTGTAGCACACGAGGCCTCGGTTTATTGTCCCATCCGAACGACTAGACGCTTTTACCATGTCAGCCCCTCTTACCTGCATCACTGACAGGGGGAAACTGGGTTGAAAAATCCGAAGGTATTATCTCGACCTATGCCGGGATTGAACCCTGGACCTTCAGGTTAGCGAGCAAGCATCTAACTCACTGAGCCACCGCGGCTCCCTAAAAGTAGCCTATGTCTTCAGTATATTATTGTTTCAGAAAAAGAGTTACGTGAGGTACCGTATTTGTCAAGGTCTAGATCTTTTTCATAGGGTCAGACAGACACTCAAAAATGAGGTGAATGCTACTCTTCAGGAACGATTGGCTAAAGAAGATTGGCTATGCCATGCAGTGTGCAATAAGGCAATTTTTTCCAGGACTGTGACATAAGTCTACTCTTTTTCAATATCCAACTGTGATCTTCAGAACATATCTTTCTTTAAAATGAAATTTCCAAGGTAGAAAGCATCATGACAGAAACCTACCCTTCCTCTCCAGTGATCCCTTGACCTTCCTGTTGATAGGGAGGAGGTTGACCTTGTGATAAAACAGACATTTTTATGGGGTTTCTTCTCACCACCTGAAAAAAAAGGGTTTTGTTTAAGAATGTTGACAATAACTATATTTGTGTGGTAAACGAAAAAAATGTGGAAGTTATTTTTCTGCATCAGCTTGAGCTGAAATGGGACAACATTCAGTATGCAATGTTTGAAATTTTGCCAGGATAGCAGCATTAGTTTGCACCTTTTAAGAATCCAAATGCCATTTATGTCCACAAGTGTCATTGTTGCATCAAAACAATTGGACATTTTTTTCCATTTAAATTCTCCAGATATATTTTTGTCAGATTTAAATTCTGAAGAAAGGTCAAGTTAATTTTAGTTGGTAAAGCCAATATGATATACCATTGAATGACTTTTTTTTTCAAAGTTAAGAAGTTTGTGGCTTGCCATTGTTTCTATTATGAGAATATTTATATATAATTATAAAGTGAGTGCAATAGAGTTAACAAGATCAGCATGACTTAGCATAGTGACACGCACACTGCCACAGTATTAACTTCAGCAGTTTAAGAAACTGAGTCTAAGAAACCTGATCTGAATCAGACCAATGTAAATAATGGATCCATCTCTGCAAAAGCTCATACTAACTTGCATTCATTGGCAGAATTTATTTAGCCTATATTGAGACATTATAATATCTTATATTAAAGTAGAATAAATAGGCCACTATCTATAGCTATCATCATAAACCATGTCACGTGATTTAAATAGCTCAATTAAAATCTGTAAAATTGTGCCACTAAACTCCATTTTAAATTCCATTCAAAATCAATAAAGCCTGCTTCAAAACTCACAATGTTTTTGTTTTTATTTGGTACCACGTGCGTTGGTGGAAACCAAATTGACTGACAGCAATCAATTACATTTGTCATGTGTCAAACTAAGAAATCATTTTCCAAGGCGGGACTCGAAATATGTCAGTCTTGGCTCTGAACTGTAGAGAGATGAAAACACGGGTCATGTTGCACTCAGTCCAGACAACAAAATTTATCGCTAGCATGCTGGAACATATCTCACGTTATCCTGAACGTTCTCACAAATGTTCATTAGTAACATTCACTAATTATGCTAATTAAAAAATCTGATCAATCGACTGACGAGTTTTTAAATCGTCAACAAACCAGATCGGATGGTAATTGGTTTCCTACCTGAAAACTAGACAGCGTCACTCTTCGTCAAAATGGCGGGCGTCATTCACTCGCTCCAGCCCCCAATATCATGTGATGTCTGACGTCATACGCACGGATTAAGGTCGAAGGGCAGTATTTATCAGTCAGAGTTAAAGACCATTATTTTTTTGTTATTTCAACCGTATGCAATTATTTCGAGAATTTTAAGATGTTAATTGATTTTATTACACTTTGCATGCACGAAAGTTGCAAGTTTGGCGACATTTATGACTGGGCGACTGGTTCTTTGTTACAAATTGCGACCATAATCCCTCAAGATTCTATCAAGCTCGAGGAAGTCACGGTCTAATTGACATGTGCCATCGTGCAGATCATGCACGTGATCACGCCCATTTCTTAGTGACAGGTTTGAATGATTTAGATGTCTTGTGTTAATTCCCCCTCCCACCTCGCAGACACAGAACTAATCAATCGGTCAACCCTGATTGGAGAATAGAAATTGTAACAGATAAGCTACCTTTATTGATTCCATATTTACTGCAGTAATTCGTAAAAACCATTCTTAAAAGAGGAGTATACGCTAGCTTCACAACAAGAATTCAATAAAAAAAAAAAACATGTCTACCTTTATCATTTTGTGTAGATCTGGGCCTAACGGATAACACATATATTTACTAGTCTTGGTTAATCATTTTTATAAAGTCCATAATATGCTCATTATACTAATAACTTCTAAATTAACTTTTAAAATTACATCTTTTTAACGCTTTGGTGTTTAATTGAACACATTGGTTGATTCTAGGTATCGAAAGTTATAAACTTTGTACTTGTCGAAGTCTTGTAAAACAAACACAATCTGAAGTAAGTGAAAGAGTAAGCACATCCTGTATAAAATACTGCATATTATTAACAGTAATGTCACGATGCAGTAATCCAGGCGCATTATGTGCTGCAAAAGTTATTGATGTGACTCATTTAACGTACTCTTTGAAGGGAAACAAACTTAGTTGTAGTTTGTAGTCCCTGTCGCAGTTTTAATAAATGTAGTTACCTCCCTTACACAACAAATCGGACTTTGGTGGATTATAACATAAAAACTAAATATATAACTGCTTAAGTTATGTGATTATAATGACTACAATTCCATTTGTATGGTTCAGATTGTGGCAGACGGTTTATCATAGGGTATTGGGGAGGGGCAGAATAGAAAATAAAATCCAATAGTTTAAATAGTTTATCTTAATAAATAGAAATGAATTTCAGAAAAAAATAGCTATAGTTATTTTATTCATTGCTTCTAAGCTACCTTGATGCATGTAAGAAAGAATAATTTTTTACATGGATAACAACATAGGTTCACATAGGATCCTTTCTACCAGCTGGCCTTGGTCAAACCTCTTGGCAGTAATATTTCCTGGATAATCCATCGTGGGGCAAGATGGATAATCAGTGTCAGTAGGCCTACATTTGCACACGCCGACCGAGATACAACCCACGACCACCCTTCGTTTGTAACCTAGTCTGTATTATGTACTTTCTTGCGATCTCAAGCGAAATTATTGTATCCAACTAGATTTAAGATTGTTAATTGTGCTTGGCACTATGATAGTGTTTTGTGGCCAGATTCATGCAATCTTGGATGCCTATCCGAAGTATCTCGATCCATAGACTACACAAGAAATCATCAAGCAAGCGATATGAACAACAGGAGTTTAGGAAGTAAAGAATTCCTACAAAATCACAGAATCAAGGTAACTGGATTTTTTATCAATGAACTAAGGCCTTGGTCCAAATATCGTTGATTGTCTCTTTGCAATCCCTCGGATTCGAATTTGTGGATGTTAGTTTTGAAACCTGATTCATTTTCGATGTCGAGTTGGCATATGTTGGAGTTTGGAACACTTTCGGACTGATTTAAAGTTAATGCTGATATCGGGATATCACATGGATTCGGATTGGATCCATTTTGATTCAAATGATTAGGATAGGTGCACACTTCGTTGGAGTCATTATCTGATGTATTTGGATTGTTTTTGATGGACATTAGGGAATTAAAAGGGTTGACAGTATTATGCCTATCTTGAGTACTATACATATTGTTTGTCATGGAAACAGTTCGACTAACATTACGGCGCACATCAGCGTCCAGAGCAAATGAGACTCTTTTCCTAGAACTTCTATCACCTCGTACAGTTGCGGCCCATGGAATTTTATGAGTGTCAATGCTTGACGAACGTTTCTTCAAAGGCGAATTCACAACACTGTTATTAAGTTGACGATTAACTCGTTCAGTAGCTTTGTTTACGATTGGCTGGACCTCTGAAAGTGGGACTTCCGGTTCGAGCACAATGTCCTCATATATTTGTTCCGGATCATCGTAGGGAACTGGGACTGTCCAAACCTCCGCCTGAGAATTGGAATGTGAGACCGGAGTATGGAAGAGATTTTGGACTGGTGGCAGATAGGGAGCTACAGAGTTGGATTGAAAGTTTTTGGTTTTACCACTAAGAAAATGTTTTGGCAGAGTGGAGAATTTTTCAGGTATTGAAAGTTTTCGTCGATGTGTTTTCTTTAAGCAAGATTTAGGTTTTTGGCACTGAAGGGGTTTAGGTAAGGGCAAGGGATGGATGACATCGTAATAGTGGTCAGAGGATGTGTTATAGTCACTATCGGAAAGCTCATAGTCTGTGTATTTATCAGAGGCACTACCGGACGCGTAATCCTCATCAGTCGGACTTTCCAATATCGCTTGTGTTGGTTCTGGAGCTTTTGGCTGTGGACATTTTGATAACACTGGAACTTGAAGAGGCCGTGGATAACCACGAATATCATTATGAATTTCTACGACACCGATTTCATTTTCATCCAAATCATCGCTAGTATCAGCTCCATCATGATTCACCAGCACCATCTGATCACCGTCTTCCAGAAGTTCCGGTAATGCAATCTCCTTCGGATAAAAATGATCCCATTCATTCACTTTAGGTTTGTTCTTCACGTGTGACAAATAGCAACTGCCGACTAGACTATCGTCATAGAAATCTGGCAGAACTGGACGCTGTTTGGAACTTTGGAAATTTCCTGGCTGCAACGATAAGAATTTGTTGGCAAACGTTGGTCGACCTTTTATAAGGTTTCGTTTAGTTCTCAGAGTAAAGTTTGGCGCTGAATATTTCACAGGCGCAGGAATGCAACCAGGGATACGTCTTTGTGACTGCCCCTGAAGCTCTAGTCGGAGGTTCTCATTACAGCATGGTAACCCACAAGTATGACCAGGAGGATCGTGAGCATACCTCGAATAATCCGAGTAGAGTAAAGCGTTTGGTTCTCGATGCTTTAACTTGAAGAATTGAAGCTGAAAAAGATATGAAACGAAGTTATTTGATGGTTTCAGCAACTTTGTACATCAATTATCAGAAAAACTCAAAGAAGCTGTTTCCATGACCTCAATGGTAAGTTGTATATCAGAAGAGTAACTGGAAACGTTTTGCCAAGATTTAATATTGGAATTTTGAATCTTGTCCACAAACCATGGATAAATGTGAATAGTGTTTGAAAGTTAACATTTTTAACTTGATCTGAAAATAAAAGCAAACACCTCTTTCAGTAACAGTTTATTTGAGCTTTTCTTGATTTGAAGTATTATTCAAAGCAACCCGCACAGCACAGCATATCTAAATAAAGAATTGTTCATGCAATATATTGATGGTTGTTCATTGAATTAATAACTGAATATATTCACTCAAGAACGCTTCTAGGACAATATATTCCAAATATTGGTACATAAATAGTGCCAAATTGACTTCTCTAATTAGTCTAACTGACGTCATATCTTGACTATCCTTGGTTCTGTTCGACAAGGCGACAACTGTTGAGAATATCAAACCACTCCTTTTTGGATAACCAGAGACATGATTGAAAAATATGAATTTTGAAAATGGATGGGATTCATGCATCATGCAAACAAAAACACACACGAAAATACAAAGAATTTACATTGAGTGATGGTTGATGGTATTGCTGGTTGTACACATCTGTTGATTAAGTAGCTCAGTTGGTGCAGGTCTTCTTGTATCTTGAATCTTCTCTTTTCAAATATGAGACTCAAAATCCACTTGATGTGAGTTTGATGGAATTAAATTTCAATGTATCATGTTTAATGTTGAAGGACATTGATGATATTATTCTCTTATGTTGGGAAATGTTATGCTAGTAAGCTAGCTTTGGGTTTTGCAGCTTATCACCTGGAAGAACTGTTTGTAGAAAAAGATCGGGACTATACATAATCCAGTGGCCCTGATGAAGGTATATACGATCATGAAGGTAGATTGTTTGGGGGTCATGTTACAGAGCCATCTTACCACCTTAGAACACCTAAGAAATTCCAGATTCAACTTTTCATCTCAAGTAAAAAACTTTGTGCTCAGGATATCGCATACCATTTTGTAAATGAATGTATCCAACCATAATACTCAGGGAAACTTTTAATGTGAATTCTCAAGAATATATCAAAATGACACATATTGGTGCTGTCTCAAAGTCAATTCTCATTTACTCAAAATAATGAAAAAATTAAATTATTTTGTATTATTTTATTTCTTTATATGGAAATTTTAGTTTTTTTTTTCACATGAAATACAAAAAATATGAATTTACAGATTTTACATTTACTCATTCACACTGTCCAACATGCTGGTAATTTTCTTAAATAACTATTATGCTTCATACCTTGAAAAACTTCAGTTTTCTTTTAACAAAACACCTGAATCCGACAATACTTTAAAATTACTTTTAACAGTTTCCAAATTTAACAGGAAGGTTTTCATTAATAACATTGAATGAAATGCTAAGACAAATTTAATATTTCTATGACTGATAGGACATAATCTTAATTTTTCTTTCACTTTTACATGTATGGAAGGCTATGAAATAAGTCCTACTAGCAATAAAGATATCAAATAAATCAGGACATTCACCAAACACAGGTTATTAAGCTTATAGATAAATTAGTCTTGACATTAAATACATTTCTTTTAAGATAATTTATTTCAAATCTTGATTCGAAAGATGTTCTTGTCACACTTTATCATGCATCTCACATCACACTAATACAGTCACGCATCACACACAATAATATCAGAAATTCGAATAACAAAAATAACAAATTTCTAATTTTCATTTTAAAAACAATTTGACTAACAAGACGTCACACTCATGCATTTATAATAATGTTATGGTATTTTTTATATATAACAGGAAAATTTGTCACCAAAATAATTAAAGCACATTTTCGATATTTTTTTTTCTTTCAGATTTTATTGTAATTTACAATTTTTGCTTAAAAGACAGAAACTGGTCCATGAATAAATTAAGTTTCATTTGCATTTCCAAACAACTTAATTTGAAATATGAAAATCACATTTAATTTCAACAAAACAGTATAGAAATAAGAGCCTTTTTTGAGTGATTGAAACATAGGTGCGCATTATATAAGGGTGCGCATTGTACTCAGAAATATATGGTTACTTATTAACATCTGAATTCTTAATTTGTGCTTATTATTTTGTTGCAGAATTTTCCATGATTTCTTAAATTGAATATGAAAAGGTTAATTTACAAATGAAATTCAGGTTAATGATTTTTATATTTACAAATTTACATTTTTAAAACAATTTAAGGTGAATATAATTATGATGTGAAATCAACTTGATTTTTCAAAGATCATACTAATATGACATTTTCCAGAAAATAGCATGTCATTTTGTGAGGCACCTATTGATGTTATGTAACATTTCAACACAGTGACTCGTTCAGCAAATAACTACCAAAATGCTTTTAAACTTTTATAAATAGCAGGCAGTCTTGTGTTTTCATATTTAGAAATTGTGAAAGTGAATTTGCTTTTGATTAACTAAATGAAAATGAAAATTGCAGCTTTAAGCAGCCTTCAGCATGGCATAGCTAAATGTATAACTAATTTTAAGAACCAGATATTAAGAAATAAATTAAGATAAATTATTAATTTTAGCTAAAAATCTAAGAAAATGTACAGGATTATGTCCCCTTGTTAAAATTTTACAGGTAGCCTTAATAATATTCATAAATAATTGCACTCAAATATGTTGATTTTAAAATAATTATTCTACTGATATACTCTTTATTGGTTATTGCTTTATTGGGCTTATTAGCATAATGTGAAACACCCTTTTCAACAAATGAAATACTCTAGTAGTCACCACAAATTTGGAATTTTTTTTAACGGAAGATTATACCTACCCTGCCATTGAGGAGTAGAAGTAACTCTTAATCATACAAAAGGCAGTGTGACCATTTCAATATTGCAGTGATTCATTTCTTAAAACCCAAATTACTGAATGATGATGAATAAAAGCTAATGAATTTTGGATGGATTTGTAATCTTGATTTGAAAGTCAACTTAAGGCTAGAAAAATGGACTTTTATCAATGTAAATGAATCATAATATATAATCATTTGCATCTCATTTGCATAAACTGTTTGTGGATGGAAGTCATTTACATATTTATCAAGGCATCAAATATTTTATTATATTTTTCTCAATAGTATGATGTAAGTATTGAAGGGTGTCAACAACTTTAATTTGGATTTCAATTCTCTTTAAAAACCATTCAATTAAACACTTTATCAATGAATTTAGATTATTTCAAAAAAGATTAAGGAATATTGAATATATGACTGTTTTCACTTTTAACTATATTCTTGTGTGGGTGTTTAAGAACAATTCATAACCAAAATATGGTGCATAGAATATCAAAATATCAATAAGGAATATATACATGGACATAATGAGCACCTTTATTTGCTGTAGAAATGTCTGTCAAATCAGGATTTCTCAGGAATAGTGGAATGGTTCCACTTCTTCCTGAAAATATTTGTGGACCTTCGAAAGGCATAATTGAATAACTTAAAATTCAGTCTTTGGTGATGTCCAGTTGCTTTGCACAAAGTGTCCTTCCACAAATATTCTGTCATACTACTTGCAGCAATTCTTATGATGTAACAAGTCATTTGATTGGATGACAGAAATACATAAACAGCTCTCCACCAACAGAAACACAGTACACATCCAAAATTACGAATCAAAATCACAATATTGAAATAAAATAGTGCATCATGGGATAGAACTGTGCAGAACATGGAGATTGAACACATTTCCTTTTAAAACAAAATATCTAACGGAAAGGCGCAAATAGGTCAAAGTTCATGCATGGACATCACCGTACAAATACATAACGTTTTTCATTGGACGAAAAATTCACAAATAGGAAGCACATTTAATCGCGTCAAATTTTTGGTTTTGCTTTCAGCAGTCAAAAATATCACATGATCTTATAGTCTTGTAGAGTTCGTCACTCATTCCTCCTAATTTCAAACCTTGATTCCACGTCTGGAATTCCGAAATCTCGGCTTTCACAAATTTAAATCTCAGTTGTTTCTTTTGATCACTTATGTCATAACGCTGATCACATGACAATGAGGTCAAAGTTCATATGATAGGTCAATGTTCAAGGACAATTAGATCAAACAAGAGATCAGAGAATTGTTTTAAGGAAAGCAACATAAAACAGAGTAAAACGAGACTCAGACTACAACTTCATAAATAACCTTTTTTGGTTTGGCGGGATCTGGCGTGGAATAGCCACTTTCAGGATTACTCGGGAGGCTGCCATCTTTTTTCTCTTCCAAATCTAAATACTGATCTTTTGGTTTTGTGTTGGGCATTCCATGGAAGTGCAGGTCTGGAAAAATTTTAAGAAATAATAGGATAAGAAAATTGTCTAAAAGATGACCTTATAATTTTCAAAGTAATAAGGAGAAGGTAAAAGACAAAATTTTGTAGTCTTAGTGCTTAAACAGCTAAGAAGCTTTTAAGATGAGTTTATGATATTACAAGAGAGAAGTTGAAAACATTCTGAATGATAAAAATACAATTCTTACCTCCACCTTGCCTGTTATTATAGTCTACTCTTGTAGAATCTAAAATTATAACACAGACAACATATAATGTATATTCTTAAATATGCTATTCTAAAAAACATTAGTTTTGAATTTTAATGTCTGATTCGGCCCATTCACTTGTCTGCTTAGTTGTATGAAGAAAGAGCCAAGAAAGAGCCAACACTTTAGAAAAGGTTATCTATGTACATTTAAACAATAAATTCTATCATTTTCTTTCAAGTTATTTTGAAGCCTTATATACATACAGTGGTGACTATTTTCACTATAAAAATTGTGAAATGGTCAATAAATATATATATATTTTCAACAAAATGTATACAATATAATAAAAGCATGCAGATATAAAAGAAAGGTGTGCAGTGACACATAGAAACTAGAAACACATCTGAGAAATCATTTTAAAATGGATACCATATCTTCTTGCTCTATGATGTTTCAATCAGTTTAATATGACAATTATATTTGAAGCTTTGTTTGCTGAAATTTACTGACATGAAACACAAAAAATACACCTTTAGAAGGCTTTTTGTTAAGCTGCTACAGTGGCCAAACTATAGCCAAATGTCATTTTATAAATAAATTTTTACCTGAATATAAAGGTACTAATATTTAAATGATAGAATTTTGACTATTTAATGATTTCTGAGAATCAAAGTATTGAAACATGCAGATGAAAGGAGACTGAATGAAGAATGAATAAAAAGATAAAAGTTGCTGAAGATATGAAGATAATTTTAGGAAACCCCTTCACCAGAAACTAGAGTAGAAACAGTAGAAGATAATTGCAGTATGTTAAAGCATCAATGTATATTTGAGAAGTGTTATATTCCCTTGCAGAGATTTTCCCATTGTTGGTTTTGAGCTATGCAGACAATAAGAGCAGTCAATTGAATTACTAACTAGATATGGATTGAAATAAACCAAAGTTACATCTTCTGGCAAACTAGGCTAGTCAAATACATGTATGAAATATTTTCTGAATCAAGCAACAATTGCAGAATGGCAAGATGCATGTTCATCAAATATTGACATTACTCTTTACGTGGCGTCTTGCAGAATTTCAAGGACTGAATTTTTCTATATTCAAAATTTGTAATAAGGAACTTAATAACTGCTGCAGAAGTGCATAGCCCAAAACCAAGATACATGGATTTTTAAGCATTTACTTTTGGATGTTGACTTACACTCATTTCGTCGATTCATTTCATTTTCAAAAACTCTTTTATCAATTTGGGAATCATAGGAGGTATCATGTCCTCCGTGGGGGATACTTCCATTTCCTGTCACATGACCGTTGGCAAGGTGACCGTTTCCATGGTTAAGTTTTAAATCCAGGGGACCATCTGTAGAACAAAGTATGATAATATTATGGGATGTGAAGTTATTATGATGTTTGAAGTTGATATTATATGAAGCAACTGAAAGAAGATTGGTCATCAAAATCCCATTGCAAAATACATCTAAATTAAATCAAGTAGGCCTATTCAGACTTGAAAAATTATGATCTTTCTTACACATGCTTGAAATGTTTGAGGAAGCTCCAAACATAGTAGTTAATGTGTATGACAATTTTTGAAATTGCAACCTATCCCTAGACCCACATATGTAAATGTAACTACAATATAAATTTGTTAGTGAATATGTGTTAACAGTGTTGAATGAAGGATGGTACTAAAATGGTATTGTTAATTGGACGTGTTAGATTAAATTTGTGAAAATTGTCATCCAATAGCCTTCATAAGACCTGGTAGAGAAATTTTTTGAAGAAATGTAGAGATAAAGGACATTAAAAAATAGTGGCTTTGTGCAAACATTGAAACATTTCAAGAAGGAAAAGGATTTCGGGAGCCCTGTCCAAGGAACAAAATTCTAAAACAGTACAAAATGCAGGTCATTCTCTGAAATTGTTAAAGAACATTATATCATAAACAAGTGCTGAAACTAAGACAACCTTTTACTCAATCTGTTAGTGCCAATTTCCCCAAAACTCTTTTCACAGGCACAGGCCATATAGCTAGCCCAGATCCCAGTGGGGACGAAATTTTTTTAACTATAGCAACTAAATTTTTCAGTGGGGGCCAATATTTTGATAGGGGGACCTGGCCCTCCTTTAGCTACAGGCCTACACAGGCAAAAGAACTTACCGGTCATTTTCAGCTTTGAGTGATTAATCAATAGCCTTGTTATAGTATTCGAAATCAACGTCAATCTAGATAGTTTTATGTTTGACGGAGACATGTGTCAATCCATCCCAAAATGTCCCTAAAATATGCAATACCAGTCACTGTATTTTAAATAGGTTTAGTTCAACCAACGTCTTGAATAGTTTCAATTGCTATAAGGTCTCCCTAAAAAGAACAGTGGACTGTTTGTATTGGTTTTTTGAATCTTCCCAGGTGGTGACAAGATTCCTGCAATCAGATTGAGTAAAAAGTTGTGAGTGAAAGATTAGTGAGAACGACATGCTAACAAATACTTACAACTAGTAGAGAAATTATGATTAGTGTTATTAGAATTAGAGTCTGGATAGGAAAGACTATAAACATTCGTAGAGGACGGAGGTACTGGATCATCCAAGTCTACTCCTGGCAGATAACTCATACCTTGGTTTTCATAGACCTGTGGTTTTTTATTCGGAGATGAAACTCCATTAACTGGCTGAGCTCTAAGCCTGAAAACATTGCAATGAAATATTTGAATATGAATGAATATGAACAAGAAATGGATATTGCTGATTTATCCTTTGCGCTTGTATGTTTCAAAGATAACGGTCAAGAATGCAGGTGAAAAAATTCTTGAAAACCCGCAAGCGAAAGTAAAATAGTATATAACAGTGAATTATTTCTACTCAAGTTGAGATTTTACATCTGATGTGAGCCCTGTGGTTTTTGAGATACCCTTCTTAAGCACTTTCCACAATTTACAAATGATCTGTGTTATATACTCTAGCATATGAATAATTCATTTAGACATTAATACTTTCATATTGTAACAAAAACATAAGAAACTTACTCAGTGGCTGTTTTGTTTTCTTCGTATTTTGCTGAAAAATCAAAATCACATTCATTAAAACCTTTCATAATAAATCACAAACATACCTCATATAGACCAAGAAGTCTAAATATATAAGCAAAACCTTGAAAATCAAAAAGAAAATAAATAGAAATAGGAACACAAATATAACTTGACACATACCAAATTTAGGTTTCTGAGCCATATTTTGATATCCAAAAATATAAAGACAAATTGACTTCCAAACAACAAAATCAATTCTTCCAACTTCACATTTATTTCTTAATTTAACAATGGCCTTTGTTTAGAAATTGTCAGCTTTTAAAACGAAATTTGATCAGAATTCTTATTTTTGATTGGACGAAATCAAATTCTAGGCCAGGTTAGTTTGTATATTTTCTCCACAAAGGGACACAACTTCATCAATAATTGCATAGGTATTAAGTCTTTAATCCTTTTGTTGACAAAACTTGTCGTAAACAAACAACCATATTGACAGCAATGAACAGGGCCGCAATCATTTCCATGGAAACAATATTGAGAATCAAGAAAGAGTGGCGTTAAATGCCGAGCCCAGACAAATAGTCTCCGTAAAAAATCTCCACACAAAAAGTTCAATGGATTTTGGAAATTTTTTTGTTGTAAAAAAATTGCCAGTAATGTTTGGAAAAGAGCAAGAGAAATTGGATGTAAACAAAAGTATCTATTCTGAGAGAAAATAACAGAAATAGTCAGACCACTATTTTTTGAATTTGAAACAGCAGTTAGAGAAAGGTGACTTGTATTGAGACAATTTTGACATTTTTATATCAAAATACTTGAAAATTCAATGTACAGGCAAATAATTTAAAATCTGATCCAGAAAACTGAAACTTAATGTTTTTTTTTTTAAATATTTTGATATTGTAAATAGTTACATAGATGTATAGTATATCAAAATAAAAATAGGCCTTCTAGGATGATATAATATATACAGATTTATTAGGTTAATGATAAAAATTAGGTTACCTTGGTTACGTCGTCTGCGACATATAAATATAACAAGAATAATTAACAAAGTAACAATAATAACACCACAGACACTGGCAATGATGTAGACATCTTGTTCTGTTAGAGTAGTCTCCCCTTCTTCACCTGAAATATACAAATAAACAAACATAAATTTCTTTTTATCGCCTAATTGGTCTAATGAAGTTGGGAAGAGGTTTGTCCTACAACTTCATTGTGCATTATTTAAACTAGAACTGAAATGATATGAATATCTAAACCATACACTTTCATGGGTACATTCTTAGATTTTTATGCATCAGTTAGAATCCTATTTTGAGTCACTAAATAAAAGCAATTACCCAAATACATAGATGTGTATTTTCGTTACATACTAGTTCTACTTTCACACATGACTCATATTTCATTTCATTAGAAAAACTAAAAGAATTGTGTTTAATCTAGGTATATTATAAAAGTATATCTATGGTCAGTATAGTTCTTATACTGTATATAAGAGACCAGGTGGGTCCACTCAGTGTCCACTTCAGACCATCTTTAAATCTGGTGTTTACAGAAAGATGGACGTTAAACATCTTGTTTTACTAGGGCTTTATTTGGTTTACACAAGTTGATTGGCTAGCAAGAAGGTAGTCAAAAGTTGCAGTAGAAAGAAAGGAGAGATATATTTGCTAACATGTAGACGGCTACCTTTTGCACTCTCAAAATTAAAGTCAATCTTTCCAAAACATTTAGTTCTTTAAAACTGAAGATGAAAGCTTGGAGATCAGATTTGAAAGCGTGATGCAAATTTTAATGATTTGAATGATGATTTATAATCAGTTTCAACTATGAATCTAAATCAAAATCAACCAATTCTGACAAAAACAGAAAATAAAACAGTATTTTTTTTCTTTAATCATGTAGTTCTGACATTTTTATGCCTCAATAAATGTTATTATAAGCACAGACTTGAATCCTGGCCAACCAAAACCAAGAACTAATTCCGCACCAAAAACATGCCACGTTCTCTAACATCAGAGAAGATTTTGATTAAAATTCTGCCAGAAATTTGTACAAAGTAGCGTCTGTTTTACTTCGTGCAGAAATCAGATGTTTGCTGTTACTACAGTAATCATAAGAGTATGTTTCTGTTACCCAGGGAAATTGGCGGGAAGTTAGAACCAGACGCCAGAATGTGGACTAGAGGTGATTATTAAAGTTCATGATTTCTTTCCTTCATACAGAACAATTTTCTGAGAAATGGCAAGGGAACTACTATATAATTACGTTGGGTCAAAGATGTATTTAATGCTTCAAACATTGCCATTGGTTTTTGTTGCTTTGAAGAGTGAAACAGTTTGGTCAATCCAAACATCAGGAAAATTATTTGAGAGAATTATCTCCTTACAAAGAAATATTATGATATGATTTTCAACATGTGATCGATGAACCATGTTGAAAGAGAAATGTCCTTTGTACAATTCTGATGCAAGTCTCTGATAGAGTCAGAATAATATTGTGTTATTAATTCAGCCCATGGTGTTGTGTTTTTTATTCATCCCTTGGTAGGGCATATGGTGGAATATCAGCACAAAAAAAGCTTATTATCAGTAGTGTCACAATAGAAATTTTCCAATTTCTATGCTAACATGCTTTTTCTACATTTCATTAATCAAGTTCTAACAGAATTATGAAGAAATGAAAGGATGAAAAGTGATATAATTTCAAAACAACTCCATGTGCTTTTTGATGTATTCCCCAGCAATTGCCAGAATACCACTTTATGGTAATTACCTTATTTTTAGCTGGACCAACAAATTTATTAGAAGTTAGTCAAAGGCAGACATCTTCCATATAGAATCTGAATTAGAGTACAGCAAAATCCATCTGGCACAAAGCTAACATGAATGCATGCAAATTTTGCTGCTAAAATTGAGTATTGTATCACTAAGGATCAAACGACTGAGCTTTGAATATCAAAACCATTTACATAGAAAATAAAGTATAAAGATTTTAACAGTGGTTAGATATACTGCAATAATATATCAGTCTCAGAATACAAGTAGCAAGGTCTGCTATTGAAATTATCAAAAAAAAATAGAAGGAAGAGAGTCAAAACATTACATAATTCAAATACAATATCAACATTTCTGAAGAAATAACAAAACAAAACTAAAAATGGATCCAATTTCTAAAAATGTTCCCATGAAAAAATAATTTTAAGCTAAATTTGTGACAAACTGAACTCATTTCAACTGTCAACTTATGAAAATAGAGAGCACAAATATAAAACAAACAAAAATACCCCTGAAAAACTGTACATTTCTCAGCATGAAGTCAAACTTCTAATTTGTTTGGCCGGGTGAAAGGAAAACGTGTCAGTTTTGTCATGATCACAAAACATTGAAGAAAACATCTCACATTTTTACTACAGGAGTGTGAAGATCTGATATTATTTGTGGTTTATACCAGCTCAGGAATAGGTCACATTTCACTTTTGGGTACATGTAGAAGCTCTTTGTGTACGCTCAATAGAGAAACATATGTGTGTTTAGTTTTTATCCAAGAAGCCTCAAATTTCAATCTGATATAAGAGTACTATTGGTTGTTTTTGTGATTTTGACCAGCTTAGGAAAAGGTTACATTTTGGGTACATGTAGATGCATTTTGAGAAATTTCATTAGGAAAACATGAATTTGTTGAGATTTTTGTCCCAAGGAGCATTAGCTTTCAATTTTGAAGCATACTTCTTTCTTTTAAGAGATTAGTAAAGGTAAAATATTATAAAACTTTTTGTTGTTTTTTGTCTCCTGTCAATATATAACAGACCTTCTTTTTATGTCAAATAGGCAAATCAATACATTAAAAGTCCTTCAACAGTGGCCTTATTTTTGAAAACTTTTATCTTAGTGTTCCAGTCATTTGAATGATCAATAATTAAAATTGCTTTTAAATTTAGTTTGTTATCCAATCATATTACTGTATTTCTTAAAATTTGTATTTTATTCAAGTTAAGTTTTTGAGAATAAGGCCCCAGGAAACAAACAATAAAATAATGTTTGGAGAGTTTTAGCAGTTATTAGTTCACCTAAGGAAGACGACTTCAAAATGTTTGTAACTCTGACACATTCTATTCATCAGTTTCTAAAAATAGTTTCAAAAATGTCATTCTTAGATTAATATTCAATTAAGGTCTTAGTGACCTAACTTTACAATACACCCATCAAAAACTTGAAGATCCTCAGTGAATAACAATGAGAAAGGACCGTGAATGGAGGCAGGTACTTCAATCATACTGTGTATTCTGAACATCAAACAATTGTCAGATTCTGATATAATCAGATTACATGGACAAGGTGTTCAAGGGTTATTCAACATCTGTTACTCACAGTGGAGAGGCTCTTCAAATACCAGCAAAATCCTCAATAGGATTATAAAGTATCTTGATACAGAAACCATTTAAATACTTAAGTCATTTCACAGCATGGTTACAAGCAAAATTGTGGCTTATGATTAAAGTCAAGATTTTATGTAGCCTAAAAGGTAAAACATTAGTTCAAGAGAGAGAAAAATTAGTAAATCTAAAAAATGTATTCGTGAATTGAAATCTTCCCTTGACAAATGACAAAATGGTGACCTTAAAGTAATTCTTTGTCCCAGAAATTTGTTCAACAAATGGAGTAAAAAGGAGTTTTTAAAAACTAAAAGTAAGCTTATATAACAAAAAAATTAATCAAAACTAAACTTCATGATCAGCAGCATTTATTTTTGATTTGAGCATTTCAATGATTATGGCTTGGAGCAATAATGTTTATCAATTTGTCCGTCAGTAATTGGAAAGATGAAGAGGCCTTGAAATTTTAGCCGATCAATCAATTAATTAATCAATTTCGTAATTAATGACAGACAAATTAATCATCAATAATCTTAACAGCCAATTTCAAGGCTTTTTTCCAGTTTGACCTAAATCTTTGATTCAAAATTTTGAAACAAACTCAAGGAAAAGGTAGGGTTTTGCTGTATAATTTACATGTTTCATGCACAAGCTTCAAGGAACAATAGATCTTTAACCTCTAAAATGTTATCTATAATAAAGAAATTATTCCATCTTTTTAACACATGTTAAAGTAATGAAACTTAATCTAACCCTTCACTAACCCAAGACATAAAACATTGCAATACTTATCAAGTACACATTTTATTGAAACCATATGTTTGAACCTCACGATTTTCAAATTATTTACAATTTCAAGCCAAAATGATCAAAGATTTTCTTAATTTGTAGAAGATTTTTCACGATTTTCTCTGGTCTCAAGATCGTCACCAGGTGAAAACAATTGAATCTGTGAGAAAATGATTCAAAATTAAATTCACAGGCGAAAACAAATGTACTGGCTTCAAGGGACACTTTGATATCCTTCAACAATAAGATTCCAGAAATTCAGATTTCGTGTTGAGAATAAAACTTAAATTTTAAATCTCTTCATGTTGCTGGAACCTTGACATCAAAGTCAATTATATATTGTCTAATGTAAATATGTTGCACCATGTCCAAGATGCTCTAGAAGTATAATATACTTATCTGAATATTGATTCAGAGGTGTGTCTTTACATTTACAACTTGTCAAAAATCAACTTGATTGCTTTTCCATCTTTCAAGTTGACAATATAAGTTTTATACATCTGTTGTAAATCTTGTCAAAAATCAGGATTTATTGCCCTTGTTCATATACAACATGTATAGAAGCCAATATAGATATAATTCAAATTCTCAATGAAATGTTGATGGTGAAGAATATGATAAGTTGTCAAAACCAGATGAAGATTAATTTACAACAGTCTGTGTCCATTTATCATCTTACAAGTCATCATCGTTTATCATATTTTAACTCATGATGGATATGACACAATCTGAGGTGTGAAAACATTTGATATATCAGAATCTTTCTTAGACCTATTTAACAAAGTACAGATATATCACTGGTAAAAAAAACTCAACATGTTAAACATAAAGTTTATAGTTTCATAAAGGTGACAGGTTCTAAACCAGAAAGTAATTTCGGACTGAACAATTATCTGATAATTTAATTCAGAAAACCAAAAGAGCCATTCATTTCAAATTTATTATATTCCAGACAGAGTAATTGGTATTGCTGAAGTATCATATAGGATTATAGTAATCGCAGAACCATGGAATTCCATTAGTCACCTGGTACCATTCAGTCAAATTAAAAGGAATTATTCTGCTGGAACAATCAAATTGGACAAAGGCATCTGGACAAATGAAACAGAAAAGTAATCTGGAATAGTTATTTTGTTTTTATCTAATTAAAAGGGTTGACTATAAAACCGAATGAACCTGTATCTGCAAAAAACACAAAAGGACACAAGCATAATATCTGCACATAACGAACATAGACATCAACAAAAATACTGCACAATAGAATCATCTATTATTCAAATGAAATGAAAACCAGATTCCATTCAAATGGATTGACTATTCATCAGAATGTCACCAAAACAGAACATCAATAAATAACTGCTCAAAGGGCTGCCATTGGAAATAAAAAGGTAATATAAATTCAGGCTTATTACAAGAAGGATTTATATTAATTAATAATGCTTTGAAATGGAACATAGGTTGAATAGACCTGTATAATATAGTGTTACCATGGAAACAGATATAAACAATATTGGGTGTGGCACTCACTTGAAATATTACCAACATTCCTTTCATTTTCATGGAAAATTTTAAATAAATTCTCAAATATTTTCAGAATAATGTTTGTTTTCCATTTTCAAAGAATTCTTGTTGATGTTACAGGTGTATTTTTCATTTCAGCAAGAGAATACTACTGTGTATAACTACCAGATCAAATCTACAATTATTTTTAACAGTCCACTTGCCTCTAATGAAAGGTTCATAATCATCACTCATTGGAATGGAATCAGTTTTACTTGTAAGCTTACATCCACCTTTTCTTTGACTTCTTAAGCTCCCGATAAGAGATATATTTTTCAAATTTTATTGATAACACTATTCTGTATTCTTATTTTAAATAATGAAACCTTTGGTATATCAATTTTACATCAAGAAACACCCACGTCCAAATTTAATTGGGAAACAAGGTCCTATTCATTAATGGGTTATCAGTAAGCCATTTTACAGTTAGACTTATTACTACTTACTTAGTATTTCAACCTTGTTTGATACTCTGGCCATCGATTGTTTTTTTTTGTCAATGAGATGTCAAAGGGTATAAAAAAATGTTTATAAGATACCTTGTATTTCAGTCTTGATGTTTGATATCATTCTGTCAAAAGCACATATATTGATAATCTGCCGATCAATTAAGTATTCAAAATGGTGAATACATATAAAACTATTTTTTTGCAAGCGTATCGTTTATAACTAATAATAACTAGTATTTTATGTTTGATATGTTGTTGACAGTGTGTATATATTGATATTAATATGACTAAGATTGAGTCAATAAATGACACCCTGGGGTCGTTACGAGTTGAAATAAAAACGTGGAAGATTGAACGATGATGATAAGCATGTATGACCATGATTTTGTCCCCAGGCTGTGATTTGAAAACAAGTGCAGTTTGATGAATTTGTAGCTCTGCTACCAAAGTTTAATATGATGCAGTGGTGGTGGCCAGTAAAGACATATTTGCTCTTGTAAATTACCATTGTATGAAGCTCTTAGAAAATGATAGTAACAAAAAAGAACATATGAAAACTTTGAGGAATTTGAAGCTATATCATTATGTCCACAGGGTCACGATGAAAAGAGTCTCAAAAGTTACTATCTATGCTGATGATTCCAACTTGTTTAATATGATAAAAAATACTAACAAGGTGTTAAAATACGATCAAGAATGCAATTGAACAGTATCCAAATTATACACCAAATCTTGCCAAATATAATACCAATATTCACAGACTGTTGATACAATATTGTGATATCTAATTCACTGTATACAAATCTTGTTTGAATTATTCATCTGTATTGTTTCATAAAATTGGCAGTATTATTATGTAGGAATTGATGTGAATTTAAACATAAACTCAGATCATGCCAAAAATTATCAGAGTTGGCATATTGTTTTGTTAGTCCAAGTCTGAGATCACTTCACTGGACTTTGTTTGGTATCAAATACATCTATTTTCAGAGCCCATTCCGGTACCTGCCCACATAGGTTTTGATTACAAAATCATGAAAGCTGGCTTGAGAATGGAGACATAGTTTCAAATAATATTAGAACTTTGAGATTATGAGCACAGACTATGTGTTTCAGTCTAACTATATAAAGCCAAATCATCAACCATGGTTTAATGTTCACTCCCAGAGCCAAAAGTATTCTGGTCTCAGAAGAGATATCATCTACAATGTCAGATGCCTATCACATGCCAAAATATCTGGAGAAACTTCAGAAACCTGTAGAGCTCTCCATCAAACTAGAATTCCTGATATTGATACAAGACAATACCTGGAACTGATATCTTGAATGGCTGCCTGGAGTAATATCAAATTCTGGTACATTACCTACAGATTTCAGTTCTACCTATACTATTTGTGTTCGTCTCAATTTCCAGTATGTCTGAATGTAGCCAACTCTCAATAAATATGAATTTTAGCTGGTTGCATTCTTTCTAATTTATGAAACTTCTATTTTTAGTATAACTATATCTGTATGTTCACAATCTGATTGTTATCATATTTTTAGCAGGTGTGTCTTTTCCCACTTTTGACAATTTGAGTTCCACAATATCTGTATTTAGACAAATCTGATTGTATAGACATTTGTAGCAGACACATCTTACAGGTGGTTGTTTTCATATATTGTGCCAAAATATAATTAACATGATGATATTTTTAGCATGTATCTGGCAACAAAAAACCTTTGAGATACAGTCATTAATAAAATACCAGTCAAAACAAAAGTTATGCGTTGATTACGAGTAGGCGAGTAGGTGTAGTAGATAAAGCGTAGTAGATGTGGGTTTGTGATAGAGAAAATACTGGATTTTATCAGTTCAGCCCAAAATTATTGTTGGGCTTATTGTTGGATATTACATTGCTTTTTTACAGATTACACCCATTAATGCTTTGGACTCATGTTAGGCTTAATTTTAAGATTGATCATGTAGAAATAATTGCAGCCATGTTTTTTTCTCAGAACCAACAATGCGACTTTCACAAATATGAAAGTACAAGTTGTGGCTATGAATTATAGTTAGAAGCTTATCAGATCTGGCCAATCTGTTTTCATTATACTATTTATACTGTAATATACTTCACAGGTTGATTTCTGTCTTGATAATTTCTCAGTAGTTTAGTCTGATTGCTTTGATTCAACCCAGTTTTTCTTTTGGTTCATGAATGATCAGAGAAAATCAAACATCCAAACCCAAATCAAATATATTGGATTTGAGAGAGATTTTGAATTTCAGATTAAAAAGCTAGTTGTATGATTTGGATGCCTTAAGAAAACCATTGTACAGTCAAACTTATTATAATTCAAAAGGCCAATGCTATGATCTGGCATCAAAAACCTCAATCGCATATGGATACAAATGACCTTTAACTCCTTCTGAAGAGAACCTAAAAACAGTCGCTTAGTTGATAAACCTACTCACATGAGAATTTCAGAGGCTATAGTGTTTGAACCTAATTCAATCAATGAGCTTGATTGGTTTTGAACAATAAAGAAATCTTTGTTGCCAAAAACATGTGAAAACATCTGCATGTTATATTTGAATCACAGGGCTACCAGTAATTAGCTAAAATTCTATATTTTCTTAGAAACTGAATCTGGTAAACTAAACCCTCAACAATCCTTGTATTGTTTTCTTAATTAGAAAAATCTCTGCCTTTAACTTGTGAAGTTTTTGTTATTAGTAAGACTGTATACTAAATATCAATTTAACCTTCCAAAATAACTCAACACTCAACTCTAGTCTGGTATGTTAATATGGTAATTACATTTATTTATGTACAACATATAATTAATATGCGCATAATTAGAGTGTCTAAATTTACCAGCTGTTAGAAATTTGATGTGAATAACATACACTTGAACTCAGAAAATCTTTTTAGCATAAATATTTTGAAAGATTTAACCATGATGAAAATGAACATAACCTCCATTATTATTCCCCAACATAAAGCCAAAGTTCTGATATTTTTACCTGTAAGTCTATTACAGTTATCTTGTCTGATTTCTATTTAACTTTCACTTTATTTACTTTTCATTTACCTCTACTTAGTACACCTAGTTTAAATTACTAACGACCTTTTGAACTTTCACCTGCTTCACCTTGAAGGTTGTTACATGTGTTAATATGTAAATTTTAAGTTTACTGTATTTTGATGCACTGCAGAACAAATGTTTGTTATAGCTTCATTACTCTCAATATAGATAATACTTCTTCGATATCGTTGATTATTAAATCTTTTGTGTACCAAATTTCTTCTTTTAAGTGCCTGAGTTGTGTTTCTGGGTTAACAGTCTGGGTTGTCCTACTGGTATCTTTGGGATGTCTTTTGAAAGATATCATACACCCTCTAGGTAGACTTACAGTTATCTTTACTATCACCCATTCCAACGTTCTTACTACAGCCTTTTTCTTAATCATTACATGCCCTAACAATGGCCTTAAAAAATGTTCTTTTCTTCCAATAGGTGACAAATATGTAAAAACCCTATCAAGACATTAACCCTACAGGGGGTGTAGTTTTAATGTATTCTAAATAAGTCAACAAACAGACAAGATATCCTAGACCCTAGGGGTAAAATTTATATCTTTACATCAAATCAACTATCTGTTCAAGGGGCAGGCTATTATTTTAGAGATTTGTGTTCAATAGATCAAAGGCTATAACTCTCCATTGAAGTCTCTTGTCCTTGGAAATAGTTTGTATGTATCAATGAAATTGAGTTTGAAGTCAGTAAAAAAACTCATTAGATGTTTTCAACAAGGTTTTGAAAGTGAGAAGCATCTTTAAAAAATAACCTACATCTCAGTAGAATTTCAGTTTTGTTCAGATAAATTACCTTGCCACTCAGTTGTAGACTCTTTCACTTATTCATTTTTACCTTTAACTTTAAGGATTCATTCAGTCCAGATAAATTACTAGATCCACTTGTAATTCATTCAATCATTCGTTCATCCATTCTTTTGTTCATTCATTTGTTCATTCATTCTTTTATATTTGTCCTTCATCACCATGACCATTCATTCATTCTACCATCTTTTTCACTCCTTGTAAATATATTCATATTAGACTATTCATCCCTTTCTCTCTTTATTTTCCTTTCATCCATTTAATTCTTTCTATTTACTGCTATAATGCTTTAATAAGCTCAAAAATATAATTTCAAAGGAAAATTAAATCAGAGAAAATAACTATCTTTATCCCTCATCCCTGAGAAAATCCATTTTCTTTCAAATCAAATAGAACAAATCAACAAAAAATCTACTTCATATTTCATTGAAGTTTTTAAATTATAGGCTAACTTATAGAAACTAGAAATTGAATTTTTTATGAAAAACTTTGAACTGATTCAACTTTATATTGACAATAACTGTCAGTAAAATATATAGTCAAGGCTCACTGGGTTCATATTTTCCTCCAGGCTGTCGTTTATTCAATGAGGCACATCCAGACTTTATCTTCAAACTTTCTGAAGCAAGGAAAAAGGGGAAAATTTGATAAACATCTTCAACTAATTGGTCCTCATTTGTTGTTCATTTTCTTCGCATTAGAAAGTCATTTCAGTGAATTTTTTTTCAAGATAAAGATTGGAGGTAAAAGTATGTTAACAGCGCGTTCGAATGTGAGAATTATTATGGTTGTTGCTAGAAACCAATTTACACCTCATTACAAGTGCACATTATTGTTGTAAAAATATGTAGTAATGAGCAAGAAATGCAGAACTTAAGATGGCTGCATAGATTGAGCTATTATTTTTCCAGGTACTTCGTTAAATATTTAGAGATTTTAATCTGAAAAAATATCATCCAGCTATATTAAGAAAAACTAATGGACAATTTTGGGATTGTCAGAACTTTCTCTCCCTCCTTTGTAGAGAGCACAGGTCTAATAAACAAAAATAGCTTTAAAAATAGTTTCAGCTTTTACAAAACCTAACCTAGTGAAAATAGTACATTCTATTATCCAAACCCTTAAATTTTACCCTTTATATTACACACTTTTAAAACCTCAGTAAATCTTATTCTCAACTATTGAAGGGTAATTTACGTTAAATAGAGAATTGGTGTAATACTATTGAGAAAGGTCCAAGTTCAGAGTTTATTCAATTTGATATAATAGTTAAATAGAATTTATTTACTGCGGACCAGTTCAATATAGTACAATTCAATATAATAAATTCTATTATACATTACTTTTTCAAGATCACCAATAGAGGCGAAAGTGTAATATTATTGACACAATCTATTGAATATAGCACTGGGCCAATATTGCTTATAAAAATTAACAAATACAGTATTGAATTAGCACTGTCTTATTATCTATATGTATATATCAATATTGTCAATTGAATTCATTTAATAAGCACAGAAAGGGATCGAAATCAGAGTTATTCAGTTAATTGGAGTTGCTAATTGGACAAATATTCTTGAATTTGTACATAATGCCAAAAGATAGAGAGAATCAATGTTGTTTATCAAATGAACAAACATAGGCAATCGAAGTTGGTCTGATTTAAAAAATCTTTCCCACTATATATACTCAAAATCAGACAGAAATAAATAGACCAATGAATTCATAAATAGGGTATTTGAGTCAATATAGAATATAGAAATTCACATTATATTTGATCTAATGCTTATCAATAACTTCAAAAATAGAACAATACAAAGCAAAATCTAACACACAAGAATACAAGTTTATTCAAAAAACATTCAAAAACTAGCCGAGTTATCAGAACACAACTAATCCAACATGACAAGGATCAAAAGTTCCAAACAATAAATCATCTCAATAATATATAGATTTCAAAACATAACAAAGTAAACAAAAAACTGAAAAGATGGCTGATTGATTTTCAGTAAGTTTTATTGATATGTTGCGTCAATTATTTTCATAAAACGTAAGTTGCTAAGGGATTGATTGAGAAAATTATAATGTTTCACGTTTGAATGTAAAAAATCAATGTCCTAAATAGAGATATTAACATTAAATTGTATACAATGCCATTATGTCAATATATTCAAATAATACAGAAAACCTTATAATACCACCAGCTGGCTGGATATCGAAAATCAAAGGCTGAAGTTTTTTGTGATATCATGCTTTATTTATTGAGAGCGAGGTATGATTTCCAGGTAGAATGGATAATGCTGAGATTAATAGTTTGCAATGTTAGGCTAGAATGCATGAGAGAAAAACAATAAGTTTTCTAAAAGAATATATTGGCTAAAAAAATTGGGGAGAGTAATGTTTATATCCTCTAGAGTGGCTTTACTATAATAATTCAGATTTGATTTCTCATATTGTACTTTGTCCCTTACACTCTCTCAATTTCTTAACTGTTTTTTTTTTCACAACAAAACATTACAGCCTCTAGGTTGACTGACTTTCTCTCAATTTCTTAACTGTTTTTTTTTTCACCACAAAACATTACAGCCTCTAGGTTGACTGACTTTACCTTCTATACATCTGACCAAAATAACCAACATGTCTGGCAATTAAAAGTTATAAACTTGTACAGGTTTCACCAAATTTTAACTTGCATCATTCATGTCCTCCCAAATAAATTTTCCCATCCATTTCAACTGACTTTAACTTTCTAATTTCATTAAATGGCTGTTTTAATCACTCTAAATCTTTTCAACTCCACCAAAAACATGGCAATAAATCAGTTGACCCTAATTAACCTTAAAATATTTTCATTTCAAAACCAGGTCAACTTGTTTTCTTCCCAAAAATTGAAATTTTAGACTCAACATTAATTGTTTCAACATGTTTTAGCTTACATCTTTAATTTTAATTTTCAAATTATTTTCAAAATGAGATCATATTTCAGGCAGGTTTATTATAAAAACAAGAAAAACATGTATTAGAATACTGTCTTTAAAATTGTATGATTACTGTTTTAAATCTCAAATGTTGGTTACAGACAACAGATATTTCAAGAAATATGATATTTATAAAGTAAAGACTCTCATGATGCTATGCTGTTTGATAAAACTAAGATATTCCTCTTGACAACATGTGAACAATCCTGAAATGGCAGACAGCAATTGCAAATAATTTTTTTTAGACATATGCAAGAAATTTTTTTTTTTATGAAACTATGATGTGCTTTTTGCCAAAATAGATCTTGTAAAGAATTCTTGTGTAGGGTTCATAGAAAGGCAATAACTGGTGTTCAAATAGTCTAGCTAGGCTTACTCTTTCAGAAAACTCGACACCTTTCTACCACTAAGTTTGTCTACTCTTACAGAGAGTCTAATAGGCTGGTGTTTATTTCATAATTCTTTTTCTCATTCACAAAGGCTTCTTTTACAATTTTAACTTTCACAATACATTGATGTTATGATAAAATCCTCTATAATGAGATTAAATCAAGTTAAATAATGTTCACTATATTCATAGTAAATCATCCAATTATAATTCAACTCAGTAATTGGTAGGATCAGCTTGTGACTGGCACAAAATGTCACTTTTAGATTGCATCTGAATATAGTTTTAATTTCTTAAAATGTCTCTTTATTGTTTTTCACTTGTTGGCAGCCCCAGAAAGAATGGTGCTGGGGCTCAGAATTTGTACTCATTTCTGACTTTTTTGAGCTGCCAAAAACTTTTCAAAAACTGTATCTTTTTTATTATGTACAAATTCACTGTAAATGAATCAATCTCTGCTGAACTGAAGAAAGTTTTGCTGGGGCTTAATTCTCACTTGCTGGGGCCCATCCTCTACGGACCCCACCCTAACGACTGGGCTGCATATTGGAGAGCTTATTACCTATTTAATGTTGCTTGAAGCCTTGGTAAAGGAAGATACTCAAAAAAAAAAGCACAAAAAGCTGATCTTTCTTTCTACACAGATCTCTGGATCTCTCCAAACTTATACCTCTGTAATCTATATAGAGGAACTAGCCATGGGAAATATTTACATGACTATTCAATTATAAACCTGATCTTCACCCACTTAGACTTCTGATTGTTCAAGGGTCAGACTTGTCCTTAACATGTCAAAAAACATCCAAGTAAATCTGTAATTTGGACTAGAGTAAACAAAAATATCAAATTTCGTCCTTTGTTACACATTGGTTTAGATACCAGTAAAGTACAGGGCAATATCTCTTATATTTACTGGTTTACAAGGGCAATATTGCTTATATTCACCAGTTACAAGGGTGTTTTTGCTTATATTCACCAGTTACAAGGGCATAATTGCTTATATTCACCAGTTATAAGTTTATTATTGCTTTTATTCACCAGTTACAAGAGAGTTTCTGTTTATATTCACCAGTTACAAGGGCATAATTGCTTATATTCACCAGTTATAAGTTTTTTATTGCTTTTATTTACCAGTTACAAGGACATAATTGCTTATATTCACCAATTAT